AGAATCAACCCTTGCTAAAACAGATCTAAAAAATGTCAAATTGAGCAACATGAGGCATGGCTAAAATGCATGATCTGTTTGGTATTTTGAAAAAAAAAAAGTATAAATATGCCTTATATAGGTATGGTCCTACACTATATTATTCAAATATAGCATGATAGGTCCACTTTAATATAGTGGTGAGAGGCTCCCGATACATTAGATTTATAAGTTCCTTAAGTGAATTAATTTTTTCTGTATGTTTTTCAAATCAGTGTTATACAGTAAGTGTCATAGACAGTGTTACATTGCTATTATTATCCTTAAAATATATGTAAAACAAAACCACTTATGATCTTTTTATTTGAGTGGTTTACTAATGACAGTTAATTCTGTTTTTGCTATTGATGGTTTCATTTTTGTGAAAAATAATAAAATAATCAAATTCAATAACGTGCTTTAACCACTAGATGTGCCTTTCTATCAAATATAAAAGTCAGCCGAATTAGTATTGATACTGCAAGGAGACGTATTGTGTGAAAAGAAATCTAAGATGTTGTTTAATTGCTGATATATTTATGATCCACGTCACGTTTTCAGTTTTGGCGGCAGTGCTTCCTGTTTGTCCAGAAGTCTTCTCATCAGGGCTCTATAAATACAGAACTACGGCAGATATGTCATATTTAATGCAGCCGAACCGTGTATTACAATGCCGTTATGTGATAACCTCCAAAGAGAAAAGCAAGCACACTCGGAATAAAGTATTATTCTATTTAAAAAAAAAAAAAAATCGGATTTCACATCGCATAAACACCATTTCCCAACGTGCATTGCGGCTAAACCATCGAATCACCGAGCTGAGGACCTTGCCTACGTCTGTTTCCTGTATTTTTTATGACGTTTGTATTTGGTTATACACACATTCCTTCACATTTAAATTTAAATTTACATTAAAGTATTTCGTGAGGCCTTCTAAAATGTTTTTAAATATAACTACGGTTCTAGTTGAAGAGTTTGTAAATTACTATGAACCGAAGCTGTTGCCTGGCAACGCAATCGCACAACGTCACGTCCGTTAATTCCACATCCACACCTTTATATATACAGTCTATGATCCACACACATGGATTAACATCGATTTAATACATTAATGTAGCCTTTGTTTCTGCTAAAAGAGGTGTCGACCAGCTAGGGCAACAAGAAAATTGGCGAAATCGAGTGTGACGATTAAAAAATAGATTAAAAACATCTAATTTTGACAATAAAAACCGACCAATAGGCGCGGTAGACCATTTGCTTGGCACTTCCGGGTATTTCTCCACTGGTTGGGCCATGTAACAATACCGTGTAACTGTCACGTTTGAAGGGACGAAACCGTGACATATTCACGTCTCCCAGCATGGTAGATCGTCACATGTTCACGTCTTGCCGTGATACCGGGTTGGTCTTATGGCGAGGGATGCGTTGCCATGGTAACGCCACATTATGTAACCTCAAATTTGACGTAGGGCTGTTCAGGGCAGCAGTGTTAATGATAGTCTGATGTTTGGCGGCGTTCTGAGCATGTCAGTTGGTGTTATGACATCATCGTGTTCCATGGCGATGGATCGCCTAGCATCGAGCGAACGTGAAAATAGCTTCTTAGGTAGATAGCTAACGTTAGCCATTTATCTGACAAGCTGAATAGCAAACGTTAGCTATCTACCTAACAGGTAGAGGTATCTAGCTTACTTTAGCTATCTACTACTTCACAAGCAAGCTGTGTTCACTCTCTAGTTAGAAAGCTTTGTTTGCTATTTATCTTAATAAGCTAGAGCAGATTTGAGCTATCTAGTTAGCTATAGCCAAATTGGTGGTCTCAGTTTGAATTAAAATTGCTATTATATGTTGGTTAAACATGTAGTGCGTACCTGTGTCTACCGTTATGGCAGTGACACTAATTTTAAAAACGTTGCTGGGTTTTGGTATTTTTAAACTCAAAAAGTGATATTTCTTCATAACAATTCATTCAAAAGCTTAGAATCAGTTTGTTGTCAAGTAAAGGTTGGTAAAGCTGGCGACAACATGTAAAGCAAACGCTCTAACTGGAAATACCAACACATAATGTTGAAGTGCGTAGAGCAGACGAAACATGAGGTTAATAGAGCTGGAGTCAGGGCGGGATTAGCATTAGCTTAGCATTGAGACTGCTGACGGCTTGGCTCATTCCAAAGTTCAGATATACTTATCATTATAGAGATGCTCCGATCGATCGGCCACCGATCGATATCGGCCGATACTCACTCTCTGCCGATCGATCGGTGCTCTCTAAAAATGCCGATCGCGAGTGCCGATTGCATGACGTAAAATGATGACGTAAAATACATGACACTTTTCTCTGTGCGCGGCAAAACAAGCTCGCAAAAATGGCTTCACGAGTCTGGTGTCCGAAAATGACAATAAAATAGCGGTGCAACGTGTGTGTGTGTGAAGCAGAAATCCTGCAGCTCCGCCCGCTGTGACGGACCGGTGAGCGGAGCAAAATACACAAGAGTTAGACCTAACACACTTAGCTATTTTATCTACCTCTGGAACAAGCTAAACTAGTTATAAATATGTTTATTCTTCACTGTCGGGTCACTCATTACTGGATCAGTGAGCTGCATGAGAGACTGAGGGAGAGAGGGAGAGAGGAAAAGAGAGAGCTTCCGCTAATTTCTCCCGTGTTATTATCCAAAGTTAAAGTTTTCCCCCTCCACCCAGGCACGCAACCTTGGCGTGATATTTGACCCCACCCTCTCCCTCGAGCCCCACATCCGCCAAGTTGTTAAAACCTCATTTTTCCACCTCCGCAATATCGCCAAACTCCGTCCCTCTCTCACCTGCCCTGCAGCTGAGCGACTCATTCACACCTTCATCTCCTCCCGCCTGGACTATTGCAACGCACTCCTCTACGGCATCAGCACTACATCCCTCAATAGACTTCAGCGTGTCCAGAACGCAGCCGCCAGACTCCTCACCCACACCAAATCATGGCATCATATCACCCCGGTCCTCAAAGAACTTCACTGGCTCCCCGTTTCACACCGCATCCAACACAAACTCCTGGTACTCACCTACAAAGCCCTCCACCACCTGGCCCCCCCCTACCTCACTGACCTCCTCATCCTCTACCAACCACCCCGGTCCCTCAGATCCACCTCAGCCGGTTTGCTTTCCATCCCCAAGGCCAAACTCCGGAGCTTTGGGGACAGAGCATTCTCTGTGGCAGCCCCGAAGCTCTGGAACTCCCTCCCCCAAGACCTCCGTGAGTCCGAGTCCCTCACCCTGTTCCAGTCCCGCCTCAAAACCCATCTCTTCAAATCTGTATACCCATAAGCCCACCCCCCCACCCCCCACTTCCTCCTGACTGCTTTCTGTTTTTTTTTTGTTTTTTTTTTGTTTTCTCTGTTTTGTTTTTGTTTTGTTTTGTTGTTGTTTTGTTGCCTGTCCTTGTCTGTCTACCCTTCCCCAAATGTAAAGCGTCTTTGGGTTTAGAAAAGCGCTATATAAATAGAATTTATTATTATTATTATTATTAAAGTGGACCTATCATGCTATATTTAAATGATATATTGTAGGGCCATACCTATATAAGGTATATTTATACGTTTCTGTTTTCAAAATACCAAACAGATCATGCATTTTAGCCATGCCTCATTTCGCTCTATTTGCTGTTCTCCAGCACTGTTTTTGCAGGGGGCTGATTCTGTGAGCTGCAGCTGACCACGCCCCCCTGCAGGAGAGGGGAGCCGCTCTGATCAAGTCAGAAGAGGGGGAGAAAAATAGATCTCCGTCCTCCGTGTTTTATTATATTATTATAGGCCTATAGAGTCGTTATTCATTTGTTTTAAAGCTCAATAAATAACAAAGAAGACCTTTGACCGGCACTTTTCTAATTTTGTCCGGAAGATTTAAACTTTAACGGACATCTTGACCGGCGAAAGAAAACCTAACTGAAACTCTGCCGCACGGTCCCCTCGTTCCTTGGAAGAGGCGGAGAGGTGGGTGTTTGTCATCTGCTGGTGGACTAACCGGAGAGAATTACAGTGCTTGCCTCGACGGGGAGGGATTGCATTGAATTAAAGCAGCGGGAGCAAACGCTTGCCTCGGGGAGGGAGGAAAAAAGCCACAGCGGAGAATAAAGAGAAGGGTAACCATGGTAACCATGCGCGGGAAGTCTTCTTCGCTGCTTTTGTGGCAGACTACAGCGCCACTTACAGGCCTGGCATATGTACTACAGCGTCTCCAGCGCTTTCGAGCGGCAATGGCCGGCCGTGGCCCAACCCCACATTCCCCTGATAGGTGGAGAGTTGGCCCAATAGCTGTAGCGCCACCGTCCTGACGTCAGGACAGTGTTCAAATCTGGATCAGTTTTTATCAGATCCGTTGCAGCCCCTTTTTTAGAGATTTGGGTATGGAGGAAAATAGAGAGGGTTGTGTTTTCTGACACTTGGTGAGTTCCCTGGAACACCGGGGACACATATTCATGTATAAAAGACGTACAAAAGTGCATTTTGCATGATAGGTCCCCTTTAATGTAAACTTGAATAATGTACTTCATTTGAATGTAATAATTATGTTGGTTGTTGTTTGTGGAAGCGCCAGTGAATGAGCCTCATTAACTGAGTTTTAAACATCACTTTAAATGGAAGATCCCCATAGGCCCCGCCCACTCGATCGGATCGGCGATTGGTATCGGCCAATACTGATTCCGGCGATCGGCCCCAAAATTGGCGATCGGAGCATCCCTACTTATCAACATACATGTGTGTATGTATGTATGTATGATACCCCATAATAGGCTTAGATGACTTGAGGTCTGCATCGTTATCAAACATGTGTAATATGTATTTAATCCATATACAAGTAAAAAAACAACCTTTGGTTTTAGGGGGAGTCACGTGAGGGAAGTACAGAAATATCACATTTCCTGAAAAAACATGTGACTAACCTGAAGACAATGAATACACAATAATCATGCCGTTACAGCCTGAATTTACATACAACTTTTAATAAAATATTTACAGACCACTACAGTTGAATTCATCTGTTAACTAGTTTCACTAAACGAATAACTCGTCATCATCCAACTCTAGGATTAATTATTAGCTAAATCATGTTTGGCATGTTTGAACCATATAAGGACTCATAGGCACTTTCAATAAAATAAATCACCAACTTATCATTTGCTATTTCCATAGACACAACCTAGGATATGGCTATCTGTGCAACACCTAGTATCGTAGATACCTAGAATACATAGAATACTCTGAGAGGTAAGGCCTCCAGGTCCATGGTAACTGGAAGAAATTGATGTTAGAAAGTTGTATCACTCTTATAATGAAGTGATAGAATTGGAATCTCAAAAAGGAAATAGCTATTTCAAAGTTCCAGAGTGAAGAATTGAAGATGACAGAAACAGTATTTTATAATTCTAACTATGTTTCCATTAGTGTATAATCCCCTGTCACTAAGAATGGTTGTGTGTTCATTATCTACATAGTTTTGTATTAACAGATTGACACACACTTCCAATGCAGCTGAAACTACAGGTCCTAGTGTAACAGTACATTGATTTATAGATGTTTCATGCAAATATCTTGCAACAAGCTTCACAAATGGAAAGTGTGTCAGTTACATCGTAAAGGAAAATATTTAAGCAGTTTGCTCGGACCAAACCAGATCAATATGACCAACAAAAAAACTATATTTTAAGGCCAAATTAAAACCAGTCAGTATTATTAATCTGTTAAAAATAATCACTTATTAATATCTGTGAAGCCCGACAATACTCCCAACATACTGCACGTGTTTATGACCTCATCAGTAAATATCTAGTCAATATATACAGCTGAGGCTGCTCAATAAGGCAATGCAAATGTCGTATTTGGCCATATTATTTTAAATACAAATACTTATCTATTAATAGAAGATAAGGCTTTATGTTTGTATTCCATTTGTAGGGTTATCCAGATGGTGCTTTATAGTAACTTATTGTATTCCTTCTGTTTTTGATATCGTTTTGATCAACATTACTCCTGAATTTGATTGCCGAGACAGATTAAGAAACACGAGCAGACAAAGGAAACAAAGCCTATTTAAACTGATAGAAATGATGACCAAAGCTACAACAAAACATCTAGTTATGACACACTGGATTTACCGTTCAAACAAGAGGCACATTTATCCATCCCTAAAGTAAAAACCAGCTGAAACATAGAGCAGCCTTTTTGAAATGCACTGTAGGGACCAAACGCATGTATTAAGCATGTGTTCTCAGTGTTTCTACAACGATTAGTAGTTGTCCTCAGCCTGCTGTTTGTTTCATGCACTTTTGTTCACATTTCTGTATGAGGAGCAACAGACTGGATCAGTGTGAGGGTGGGGGGGTGGGGGGGGGTAGAGATGTATGGGTGCTGTCTACCCCCTCTAATGTCCTCTCTGATCCTCACTATGAGCTCGTCATGATGCCCCCTCCTCTCATCATACACTGATGCTCCTGCTGTGCTGCTTGATGAGGCTGTCCTGCTTCACTTTGCCCACGGCCTCCTTCTCCTGCTGTGGCCCCCCCTGTCTCTGCCCCTCCTGTCTCTGCCCCCCCGCTGACCGGCTCCTCATTCCGCTTCCTGTCTCGCTCCCACTCCCCCCCCGGCACGCTCCCGGCGTCGCTCATGTCCCCCAGGTGCTCCACAGAGTCACACTTCTCCAGGTCCGAGGCGATGGTCTGCAGGCTGATGACGGACATGCATTCTGAGGGTGGGCGCCCCCCCCCCTGCCGCTCCCTCTGGCCCCAGCCACTCTCTCGGTGCCTCTCCACCCACAGACGGGTTTTCTCTCCGTCTGCCCAGGTGCTCTCCATTCCCCCCACGGCCCTGACCTCGGCCTCGGCCCCCACAGGAGAGCTGCGGCCCCCGCACCCCGCCGGCCGGCCCCTCTGAGCGTGGATCTGCTCGCTGATCTGCTCCAGGTTCCGCAGGGCCACAGAGTAACGGGACTTCACTTTCGCCACGCGCTGCTCCAGCTCTACTACTCTGGCCTTGTGTTCCTGAAAAAAGGTGAACAGCAAGTTAGCAAGACACAGTCACACTTCTCTATTCTCAATTTTACTTGTATTTAAAGTCTGACTCCAGGCACGCTCTCAAGTATGGAAAAATACTCTGCTGTGTGTTATATTTTCTTTAACATGGGTTTTTACTTTTATTGTCATTACAGTACAGGTACTATGTAACAAAATGGTTTCTCTGCATTTGACCCATCCTAGTGTTAGGAGCAGTGGGCAAGCACCAAGATGGCAGCACGTTGATTTGTTTCTGTCTCTGTCTCTGTTAGTGTTTGTCTCATTCTCGTTTGTTTTTTTGGCATTGACTACCTCTTGTGCATACTGACATTTTATAATTTTTATTTAGCTTTTTAGACCTGTTTTTAAATTGGTCTGCTGCGCTTTTAAAACGTTTTAAAAGCTTTTAAAAGTGTTTGGGCTGTTTTGCGTCGTTTTGTGCTGGTGCCTCGCTGTGACTGGATTGTTTGCTCTCTGCCTGAGCTGTCGCTCTTTCGGACTCTGGATTGCTGTCTGTCCTGCCGTGCTGTCGGGGGCTGATCGACCTGAGCTGCTGGTCGACCTGAGCTGCTGGTCGACCTGAGCTGCGGATCCTGAATTGGGTGTGTTGCAGCTCAATGTTGCCTAAGGCTACCCTTATGTTCGCTTTTTTCCTGGGATTAATTGTCAGCCCGCATGTCGGCAAAACTGACGGATTGCCTCCCAGCGATGCCTCTGTTCACTTCGGACATTCGGATGGTGGAACCTCTGGAGCGCTGACTCCATCGGATAGTTTTTACCAAAAGCTGACGTTTCATGGCACGAAATGCGCTCTCCCGTATGCCCTTTTGACTCTGGACTCGCTAATATCGAAGGATCGGAGCAGCCCCACCCCTCTGAGGAGTGACGCGTCCAGAGCACATGTGAAAAAATCATCTTCCAGACTGTTAATATTGTTACTGCTATTACTCTCTGGTAACGTTAACATTAACCCTGGTCCTGAGTGTTTCTCTGCTTCCTTGCATCATTTGCCAACTCCGAATGAGTTTAGCTGTAGGCAAGGATTGGGTTTTCTGCATGTTAATGCTAGAAGCCTAGTGCCCAAATTAGATGTTTTCAAGACCTGGTTTTTAGTTGCTAAGCCTGATATTGTTGTAGTTTCTGAAACCTGGTTAAAACCCTCGCTCACTGACACTGTTATTCAGATTGATGGATATAATGTATTCAGAGCTGATCGTAAGGGCAGAGCTGGTGGTGTTGCAATATACACTGCTGAGAAACTACAGTGCTCTGTCCTTCACTCAATTTCAATTCCAAGGCAATTTGAGTTGCGAGCAGTCCAAATAACTATAGCAAATGCTCCTCTCACTGTTATTGGCTGTTATAGGCCTCCATCGGCCATCATGGATGCAACTACTAGCCTTACTGAATTGTTGTCTAAGTTTTCTTCTGAAATCATTTTATTGGGTGATTTAAATTGGGACTGGTTAAGTGATAAATCTTCACAGTTTAAGCAGGTTTGTGATTCTTTGAACTTAACTCAGCTTATTGATAGTCCCACTAGAATAAACCCTGCCAAACCCAATAACGATACCCTTATAGATGTCATTCTAACAAATGCAGCTCATAAGTATGTGTCTGTTGGTGTTTTTCCTAATGATATCAGTGACCATTGCACTATCGCTTGCGTTAGGAGCACTAAGTTGCCCAAAGCCAAGGGCCTTATTGTGCTCAGGCGCTGCTTCAAACACTTCTCTGAGCAGGCTTTCCTACACGATCTGGCGGAGGTTAAATGGCACTTCACAGCGTTAATTCCATCTGTCGATGTTGCCGTCCAATTTTTATTATAATAATAATAATAATAAATGGAATTTATAAAGCGCCTTTCACGGGACCCAAGGTCACTGTACATGGTGGACAGACAAAACAAAACAGACAATGAGGAGCGAACAAAACAAAAAAAATAAAGGAAGCCAGGGGACCAGGAAAGGACTAGGGTCCGAAGGCCACGGTGAACAGGTGCGCTTTCAGTGAGGATTTGAAGATGTCCAGTGAGGCAGCGTTCCAGATCTCGGCAGGAAGTGCATTCCAGAGGGTGAGGGCCGCAATTGATCACTTTTTATCGATTATTAATAGACATGCCCCCCTTAGAAAATTCAGAGTTAAGAATAGGAACACTCCATGGTTTACTAGAGAACTATCTGATCTCATTCATGATCGCAATAAGCAATGGTCCTTAGCTAGAAAGTCTAACACTAGTGATGACTGGCTTCTTTTTCGTGTCCTCAGAAATAAATGTTCAGCCCTTATTAAAAAAGCTAAAGCTGATTACTATCTGAGCTTAACCACTGATTGTTTTAATGACCATTCTAAGTTCTGGAAAACAATTAAATCACTTCAGAACAAGAAGGTTTCTAGTTTCCCACAAAAACTGAAGGTCAGTGATTCTTTTATTTCAGATTCAGATGGTATGTCTAATGCCTTTAATGCTCAGTTCAAAAAGGCTGGTCACATTTTTGATGAGCAAAGTCATGACTCTCTAAATGGTCGTACTCACAGCCATAGTCAAGAGATGAACTCCCCTGTTTTTGATTTAGCTTATTTCTCGGTCTCTGAAGTCTTACAGGGTTTGCACTCGATTGATCCTAAAAAGTCTGCCGGGCCTGACGGCCTCGATCCGTTCTTTTTAAAAATTGCAGCTCAGATTAAAGTACAACCAGTAACTGATCTTTTTAATCTCTCCCTGTCCACTCACACACTGCCAGCTGTGTGGAAGCAAGCTCTGGTATCGCCCCTCTTGAAAGCTGGTGATCCCACGGAGTTGAATAACTATCGTCCTATCTCAAATCTTTCTGTGTTATCAAAGATTCTTGAGTCCCTTGTTTCTACTCAGCTAAAACTTTTTGAAATTCACACAACATCCTTAACCCTATGCAATCTGGATTCAGATCAAAGCACAGTACTGTGACTGCCAGTCTGAAAGTCTTAGACGATATTAAGGCTGCTTTGGATAAGAAATCGGTTTGTGTTGCATTGTTTATTGACCTAGCCAAAGCATTTGACACTGTAGATCACCACATTATGTCTAATGTTATGTTGGTGTCTCGTTTCGGTCATAATGCCATTTGCTGGTTTCAGAGTTATCTAACCGACCGTACTCAATGCGTCAGGTTGGGTAGTACTGTCTCTGACCCTGTCACCTTGGAGAAGGGAGTTCCACAGGGCTCTATTTTGGAGCCCTTGCTCTTTTTATTATATGTAAACAATATTTGTAATCAGATGCAATTTTCTACCTATCATATCAAATCAAATCAAATCAGGTTTTATTTATATAGCACATTTAAAAGCGATTTTTGGTCGAGCCAAAGTGCTGTACATGTAATAAAAACACAATTACTACAAACACAGTAAACGACAATAAATTACAACAGATATATCTTAAAAACAAAATAAAAATAAAACACACAAAAGTCAGGAGTCGTGCTCCGCTCTAACTAGAAAGCCAGAGAGAAGAAGTGTGTTTTTAGTTTAGATTTAAAAACCCCTAGGGTCTGGGCCGACCTCACATGGAGGGGCAGAGTGTTCCATCGAGTATCATATGTATGCTGATGACACTATTGTATATTCATGTGCTCCTTCTCTGGATATGGCCATTTCCAATTTAAAATCTGATTTTATCACGCTGCAGCATGCGCTTCTTGATTCCAAACTGCTATTGAACAGTAAGAAAACCAAAGCAATGCTTTTTGCTCCCAAGTCAGCGTCCTCCTCTTGCCTCTCCATTGACACCCTTGATGGCGATTCTGTTGAGTTTGTTGAAACCTACAAATATCTGGGCTTTTGGTTGGACAGTAATCTGAACTTGAAACACCATATTGAAGTTCTAATAAAGAAATTGAAATTCACTCTTGGCTTCCTTTACAGACTTAAACGTTGTTTTTCAATTTCATCCCGTAAAAGGTTGGTCTCTGGCTAATTCCTGTCCCAGCTGGACTACGGTGATACCATTTATAGATTTGCCTGTCCCACTGTTTTGGCCAAACTTGACCCACTTTACCATGCTGCACTGCGTTATATATCAAATGCACCCTATAGGACTCATCATTGCACACTGTATAGCCTAACTGGATGGTCCTCACTTACTATGCGTAGGATGCAGCATTGGCTTTTATTAATGTATAAAGCCATTTTAGGTAAGCTTCCACTCTACATATGTGTCAGATTTGCCCCAGTGTGTGACTCTTACAACCTCAGATCCAGTGCCTGGATACGGTTCCAGGTACCTGCTGTACGGACTGAGGCTGGAAAAAGGAGTCTTTCTTATTATGGATCCTTGGTCTTGGAATGACCTTCAATCACGCCTTAAACTGAGGGCACTTGTCTCTATAGCATGTTTTAAATTGAAGTTGTCTGAAGTCCTCACCACCAGCTGCTCTTGCAGTAATAAGTAGTGTACCTTTCTTACTGTCCTAATGTGCACAATGTAGTGACTGCTTTTTCGTCTTTTGTTTCCTTAGTTATGTTCTCTGTATTTTATATGTTTGTGTTATGTGTAATGTGTAATGTTGCTGCCTTCTTGGCCAGTTCAGCATTGTAAATGAGATTTTATCTCAATGCTTTTTTATCTGGTTAAATACAATTTTTTTAATTATGAACGGCGCCCGGGGAGCAGTGTCTTGCTCAGGGACACCTCGGTTGCACTTGGTCTTGCCGGGACTTGAACTTGTGACCTTCCAGTTGCCAAGCCAAGTCCCTATGGACTTCGCCACCACCGCCCTACAGAGGCCAACAGGTGCAAACTCGCTACGACGGCCCAAAACAATTCCATTGGTAAAAACGCACTGCAGCTTCAGAAACGATGCAAATATAAAAACACAAATGTCACCGACTTGACAACACATGCAGCATTTAGAAAACATTCACCAACTTGAGGAATCATGCGCATCAGTTACTAAAAGCAGTGTAAAAACCAAACGCTGCAAATAAAAGACCGGAGAACTTGGTGACCATCAGGATTATACATTTGGACAACTGTCTCTGTTTTTTAACAATGTGATCACATGACTCCTTCTGGTATTATTGCAGATTTGCTGTAAGCTAGCTAGCTAACCTAGTAATTTTACATATACTGGTAAACACACAGTTAAGAGACAGACTAACTCTGCAACAGAGACAGTTGTTCAGCTTCATAACCCTGAACGTCACCAAGCGCTCCGTCCCAGCTGTGTGCGTCACTTTTTAGTGTCCCCTGGTTTCCATTTTGAGCTTCTTTCAGCGTTTTGTCTTTGCAGCGATTTAACCTTTCAATTTAGTTAACACTTTTTGAAGTTGTTGGTAACTGTTTTCTTAATGTGTTGGTGAAGATGTTTTTTCTCAATGCTGCATGTGTCAAGTTGTTGAAGATGTTTCTCCATTTTCATGTGTTTTGGCACATTTGTGTTTTTATATTTGCTTTGTTGCTGAAGTTGCCGCGCGTTTCTCTTAATGTAAATGTTTTGGGCCGTTGTAGCGCGTTTTGCACCTGTCCGCCACCGTAGGTTTCCCTTTGGAATTGTGATATTAAAAGGTGATTGAAATGTAACCTTTGACAAATTAACATTGGAAGAGTAACAAACTGACCCGGGGTTTTTAGGTCACCGTCTTGTGGAAATCACCTTCAGTGTATGTATAGGTCTTTTGTTTTAGTGTTTTTACTAAAATATAATATTTCGTTTGATGCATTTATCTCATCCCTCTGTAGAAAACCACTGATTGCAACAACAACAACCAGGGTTCCTGCAGGTTTCACCAACTCAAATTTAAGACTTTTTAAGACCACTTTGAATAGAATTTAAGACCTATTTCACGGCAAGAAAGTATGAAAAATTGCTATGAAAGAAGAAATACGTACATGAAATGTATTCATGTTCAACATAAGAACGATGACTGAACATAACAGCATAACAGTACACAGAACTGTGTTAGCGTGTTAGACAAAAAGTGTGTGTGTGTGTGTGTGTGTGTGTGTGTGTGTGTGTGTGTGTGTGTGTGTGTGTGTGTGCTAGATCGTATACCTCCTGGGTTTTAGGCGGCGGAAGTGACGTGATCGTGGATGAGAAGTCGGCAACTTTTGTATTAAAAGTTTAACGTTTACCCTAAATAGAGGAGAGTTCCGCTCACGCACGTCTTGTCACAAATATGAGGTTCATTAACGAATAATGAGATCATACTCTATAACAACATTAAAATGTGTGAAATATACTTACATTACAATAATAATGGTTTGATTATTAAATAATAACTTACAGTTCTTATTTGTGTTGCATTTGTGGATAAAACCCAAAGAACATTTAGGATATATATAAATACTGGTCAGATATCCACCAGATCTTTTAGTGATTTTTGTCTCTCTTGGAGAAATGTAATTGCAACATCAAATACAAAAGTTAATCTGAAACAAACTCAAATACCATAATGAAATTAATCCACAAATTATGATTGTTATTGTAACTTAAAGGTGGGGTAGGTAATTTCGGAGAAACCAGCTCGAGTGCGTAGAATTTGAGAATACACAACCGGAGAAAATCTGCCACTTCCTTATAGAGCCCCTCCTCCAACACACACGAACGCGCACATGACCAATGAGGGCACGAGATAAGTTTGTGCACAGATGGAAGGCTGACAGGCAGGTAGGCCATCCAGTTATTTTAGCCGGGCCGGCTAAAATGATTGGTCGTACTTTTTACAGTACTACAGCTTCCACAGATGACATTTTTTTATGGATTTTTTGTCAAAGCACTTAAGATATTCATTGCTATCGGGATGTTAAGAGCATTCCATGGAATATAACAAAAAGTGTATCTCGAGCCGGTTTCTCAAACTTACCTACCCCACCTTTAAGACCTTTTTAAGGCTTTAAATTCAGATTATCAAATGTAAGACTTTGTAAGACCCCGCGGGAACCCCGAACAACACAATATAAGAAACACTTCAAAGGGACTGGAAGCATTTCCACTCTTTCTCTCTTATTGAGAAATTCTGGGTTGGTGATAGGAAACAACAGCTTACAAATACCCGCTGTGTCAGCAAATTGAACAGCTGAGGATGCCACAGGCCTTAACAACTGGTAAGATAGAACTATATATGAAAAACAGATAAACATCAGCAGGTAACCCTCAAAGCTCTCCACAATCTGCTCTGTGTTTCCTATCTAGCCCATATTTTGGTTCCAATCTCTCAACTTGACTCTCACAAAGTTTTATTGGAAACTGGAAGCAACTGGAAGTATCTGCAAAGCTGCGGGCAAAATGTTAGATTTTCAGAATTAAAATGAAAGTCAGTGAAGGTTGAATGCTTTCACCAGCAGTTTCTAATGCCTCAGATCCACAAATGTGTGCATGTTAAGATAATGATATCCTCTGTGACACATTTTGCAGACTCTGCAGCTAGAACTAGCCACAGGTAAAGTACATCAGCAAAAAAGCTGCTGAGTCATGTGCAGTCCCAACTGATTCATGGTCAGAAAGGAACATGATCAGCTGCTGGCTTACCGTATGAACACATGGTGTGAGTGTGATGTTGTAACAAATGATAAATGCTCATGGCTGCTACACACCTCCAGAATGTGGTTGAACTGAGCCTTGAGTTCAAAGTAAGGCTTGGATTTGACGATGACCTTCTTCAGGGCTTTCTGCAGTGTCTGGACCCGGGCCTCGGCGTCCTGGCAGAGCTGCGTGACGCGCTGGTGCTCCCGCTCGCTGCGGAGCCGCTCCTCCTCCGCCTCGTTCACCTGAGGAACAGGAGATATGATATGATATTTATGTAAATTTCCCCTCTGTGGGGCGATTAAAGGTATTCTGATGACTGAGAGCAGGAACACGGCGGGATGACACAAACCCCACATTACATTCTGTAGCCCCGCCCCTTTCCCCACTTCCGGTTCAAACACAGTGTTGGTCCTTCCGGTTTAGCGCTAGCAGCATTGTAAACAATTCATTTTATTCAAGATCATTTACAGCTACACTGCGGTGATCGGATGGTTTCACAGCATCAATCCTCTGTTAGTGGCTGTGAGGATGACATATCAAAATGGCCCAAAATCTCATATGAGGGCATTTTTCATAATCTGTAGTGTCTTGTGGTGTCGAAGACCCCTGCTATGAGGAGCTACGAAGAGTATCAAATCATATCAGCCGGTCAGACTGCAGACTAAAGCTCATGTGGACAGTATTTAAGTTAACCTAGAGACAGTCTTGTAGTCGAGACGACCTTATCCGAGACCAAGACATTACCAAGACCGGAGAGTAGCAAGACCAAGACAAGATCATGACTTTAAAGAGGTCGAGACCAAGTCAAGACCAAGACTTTAAGAGGTCGAGACCAAGTCAAGACCAAGACCAAGGCAGGGCAAGACTGGAACCAGACTACTGTGAATCCAACCCTACATGATACATTTACAATACCATGTGTAAGATACCATAGTGAATTTGATCTGAAAGATCCACATCATCATCATAAAAAGACACACATACGTAAGATATAAATTCAACTTCATCGTATTTTTTCAAAGAGTTATCCTTTTCATATAAAAACAATAAAATAGTAAGAACATAATATAAAACATCCTAATATACATTTTACACACACACACATGCTTGTCTTTATTGCATTATGGGGGTACCTGACCAGACCATCCCTTTTGGGATCCACCCTTTCTGAAGATTGTACAGCACTGTAAAAAATCAGGCAGAATCCTGAAGTGGACTCATACAAAGATTTCACTTCAAATTATCAATCAGAGAAAGTAGAGGTCACTGACCGAACTATAAACCGTTTCATGGGGTCTTGTCAGGTACAGAGTTACAGGAGGGGTCCATATATATACGCTGTCTGGCTTTTAGTCATGCGTGGGCTCCAAAAATACACTGTCTGGTTTAAAACATTAGTGGGGTCACTTTGCACACTGTATTACTAAACTTACTTTAGGTAACAATGTAACACATTTGACTGTCAAAGTGAGGGCTATCAGGATGCAGAATGATTTTCACCTTTAGTGTCAACATGTAGCTTCTGTTAAGTGACACAATTATATTGAATTCCAATGTACTGATAGCATTTTAATTAATATTTAAGCTATTATAGTAATGTTTTTTATTAGTCTAGTATTTACCCACTGTGACACTGGCACGTACACAGGCGGTTGGTGCCCCAGAAATGTCCCCATCTTTAGTGAAACATTTCCACTATCCCTCGTTCAGACATTGGGTTCCTTCATCAGGGATGTCTGGACTCGTGAATGAGACTCACAGTACATTTAATGAAATTGCATCAGTTTCCTTCTTTTTAAATAAAGAGGGGTTTGTGTTCTAAGTGTTAATTATTGAAGCCATATAAGTCATGCTTATAAGGCTATTCTGCTTAAAGGGCCCATGTCATGCTTTTCCGGTTATTACCCGTCCCCTTGTGTGTTATGAAGGTTTTTATGCATGTAAACGGTGTGCAGAGTCAAAACCCTCAAAGTACACAAAGTACCTGTCGCGAGTAAAACTTTAACACAGAAAATACCTCCCCAAAACGCCTCGTTGGAGATACGTCACTGCCCATTTGAGTCTTCCATTTAGTTTGGGATACGGCATGATGTCATGCCGTACCCGGAACGAAATGGACCAATCCGGAAGAGCTATGGCCACACCCAGCGGCGCTGGCCGCACCCTCTGCCAGCCTAACATTTACTGTTGGAAGCTCTGGTTCAGTTCACAATCGATCCAGTCATGCCAATGCCAAGGACCTGTTTCCTGAAATGTGAGGAGAAATCTGAGCTGTTTGTCCTACCGACAGAAGAACCACGACGAAGTCAGTGGTTGAAATTTCTGTTTAACACTGTTCCTTCAGAGGTTCGAAGAACGTTACTGTGTGCGCGGCATTTCACAGACGAAAGCTTCCAAAACATTGCCCAGTTTGAGGCCAGATATGCACAGCATTTGAAACTGAAGGACGATGCTATTCCTAGTTTGTTTGGACAGTTTGGAGCAGGGGAAGATTCGGGTACACAACCTGTAAGTTTGCATTGTTATTTGTGTATTTATCAAACAAGGTATCTACCACGACTGTTTAAATGTGTAAACGTGTGTCGGACTGCTAGCGTTTCCATATATCAACTCTAATATCAGCAGATGGCCTTACATACATGTATCTCATAGCAGGAGAATGTCTGCATTCACACACGAAATACTCATAGACAGTATACTCCGGGTGATTTACCGTACAGTCAGTCGCGAAACGTAATTACATTATAGCTGGCGTTCCTAGCGTGTATGCTACCGAGCTAAACAACGGAGCTCGACATGAGTTTGCTCGGGAAAACATTGTTGTTATGCCAGTTACAATGAATGTAGCAGACTACCCGTATAAGATTGCAATTGTAAACATGTTCTTGATAGCCTAATATGAACCACTATCTGTTGTTCATAGTATAGTATAGTATAGTAGCCTATAGCATATTACACTGAACAACTAGCAAACGTAGGTTAGCATTGTAATCCAGCTGGCAAGCTGACGAACATAAAACGACTAAGTTTCAATAATATTTTGTGATTGGCACTTCATTTCGTTAGGAATGTCTCCCAAACAAGGTATCTACCACGACTGTTTAAATGTGTAAACGTGTGTCGGACTGCTAAGCCATTGACACAGTGCTAACTGTGCTAACTAAGTTGCTAGCGTTTTCATATATCAACTCTAATATCAGCAGATGGCCTTACACACATGTATCTCATAGCAGGAGAATGTCTGCATTCACACACGAAATACTCATAGACAGTATACTCCGGGTGATTTACCGTACGGTCAGTACATTATAGTTGGCGTTCCTGGCGTGTATGCTACCAAGCTACCGTTCATAGCGTGTATGCTACATAGCTAAACCACTAGGCTACCTAGAGCTAGACATGCTAGGGAAAACATTGTTTTCATGCCAGCTACAATGAATGACCGAACGTAGCAGACTACCCGTATAAGATTGCAATTGTAAACATGTTCTTGCTAGCCTAGACCAGCGCCATATAGAGAGATCTATCTATATGGCGCTGGCCTAGACTAGCTGTTGTTCATAGTAGATTGGCATATTACACTGAACAACTAGCAAATGTAGGTTAGCATATTAGCTGGCAAGCTAACTGTGTTGATTAGATAGATAGATTAGATAGATACACACTCCTACCACAACTACTACTAATGAATCTAAAACTAAGTTTCTCTAATATTTTGTGATTTGCATTTGATTTCGTCCAGCCAGATCAGGAAACTCCTGGCGTATCTGGCGGACAACACACACACGGGATGACCCACTCTGATGCCTCGTCCTAAAAAGCCCCGGCAGCCGCTTACAAAGCTGCGATAGGCAAGATGCCGAAAACGCCTATAAGGGGAGGAATGGATGATATACAGTGTATATATGTATATTTACGCATGTTCATTTTGTACATTTCTAAAAATAAAGTTTGATGGAAATACTTAGTAGGCCTATCCTTTCTTCCCTGAATTATTTGCTCCTATAACATATCATTCATATATAGCAAACCATGATTTGATTTCTCATCAAACAGTAGTAGTTTATTACAGGTAAAAATAACTTACTCTTCTATAACAACAGTTGTAGGTACAGTTCGGTTAGTTAGCGTATAAAATATACGGCTGTACCGACGCCATTATAAGACTGTTGTTCCGCTGAGAGCGAGCCGAAAAAAGCATCATCTGTGGAAGCCGTAGCACTGTAAAAAGCACGACCAATCATTTTAGCCGGCCCGGCTAAAATAACTGGATGGCCTACCTGCCTGTCAGCCTTCCATCTGTGCACAAACTTATCTCGTGCCCTCATTGGTCATGTGCGCGTTCGTGTGTGTTGGAGGAGGGGCTCTGTAAGGAAGTCTGAAGGAAGTGGCAGATTGTTTTTGGCTGCGTACTTTCAAATTCTAGCGCACTCGAGCTGGTTTCTCCAAAATTACCTACCCCACCTTTAAGTTGTGTTTGCTGTAAATATTTTTTTGTTTTGCAAACACTTTTTGCATCCACAAAGAAATCTATTTTAAAAAAGATAACATGATATCTCAATGTATATCAGGACCTCAGGTCTTCAGGTCCTGCTCTCTGTGAGCTCCAGCTGCACCTCTCTGTGAGCTCCAGCTGCACCTCTCTGGGCTGCAGAGCTGGCCTGACTCCTCCACACTGATCAGATCATACAGAAGCTATATCCTCTATATGAGAGGATGTCAGTCTTCTCCTCTCACACAGACACACACACACACACTCCCTCTCTGCCTCTCAGTGTGTGCTCTCCAGAGTAAATATATTAAAACAACAATAGAAATAAATCACCAGAATGTACAACATTAAAACATAGACAAATATTTACATTGAGTTTAATTTGACAAAAATTATCTGAAAAAAATATGTATATATTTGCACTATTTGTATACAAATGCAAAGCTGTGCAGAAATTAAAAGAGGTAGCTTTGTGTAGAAATGTGGACATATTCAGAGGGTTGTACAGTACTGTATTAAATGAACAAGCTGTTATTGTTTGCAGTGTGCCTTAAAGGTCCCATGTCATGCTTTTCTGGTTATTACCCGTCCCCTTGTGTGTTATGTAGCTTTTTCTGCACGGTCTGCAGAGTCACAAACCCTCAAAGTACACCCTGTAGCGAGTAAAACTCTAACACAGAAAAGACCTGTCTATGCTGCCCCAGAACGCCTCGTTGGAGATTTTCTTTTTCAATTTTGTTCAACAAGCCATTTAGGACAGAGAGTGAATACACATACTATACAGAGATGCTGTATGAGAAACCAATGAGATTTTGGAAAATTGCACAATATAAATCTATTTTAGTATACCTCAACAATGGAATTATGATCAGTAGAAATGGCCATGACATGGGACCTTTAAAGTACATTTACTTTCACTATTTTAAATGACTACTTATTATATTTAATTTCTTGTTATTATATTTAATTACTTGTATTTCATTTAATTAAATTACTACTTTTTTACTTATCATATTTATGAATTATGTATTATATTCTTATTACGTGTGCTTGCCTTTTTGTTTTATATGCAAGTCTACTCTTTTTCAATGTGTCTTTGATCTGCTCTGTATCTTTGCAGTGAATGTACTTGCTGGAGGACACAAAGGGTTTCTGATTCTCTTTTAAAGTCAATCTGTAGATCTTTCTCACAGCCCTCTTTTTAGTGTTCTCATAGAACACATGAACACTCCAGAGTGTGGGAGAGGTGGGGGGGGGGGTGTACCTTAGCGGTGGCGTGGTTCAGCATCTCCTGCCAGGTGGGGTCCAGCGTGTTCCTGTCCGCCTGCAGACCCTGCTCCGCCACATACACCATCTCTCTGGCTGCAGTGTGCATGGACACGGCCCGCTCATACCTCAGAGCGGCTTTCTGCGTCTCCTGCTGAGCCTGGGGGGGGGCACAGCAGCAGATAAACACTAGGCTGGGGGGGTCAAAGATTACATGGAACTGGATCACCTCATCAGGGTACAAAAAAGGTTACTGTGTTCCCTTACAGTTACATGGAAAAACCAGATAACTGTAACATATCTAGAAATTGGGGATTACCATCAGCATTACAGTGTTAGTAACAAACTAAAAAGAGCATCTAGTGTTTGTTGTAAAGGATCAGATGTTCTCTCTTCTCTGGAAGCTGTACTGTTCTGTAGGATAATACTTTAAGTGTCAGCTCCGATTTTATTTCTGCTTTTTGAAACTGTAGTATGTGCTCATGTGTTTCAGTGTTGGTGTATGGGCTGCTGCCTGAATCTGCTGAGTGACAGGTAGCTTTTCATATCAATAAGATATTTTCTGATCCTAAATATCATGGTTTCTTCTTTCCTACGGTCACATTGTTTTGTTGTCTGACATAATACACATTAGTAAAACACATCTTATTGATATTTATTTTCTCTTGTATTTAATGGATGTAATCCGAAAGTAGCATAAAGTAATCCTGTTACCTTACTTTTTATTATATTTGTATTAAAATACTGATTACACTTTTTTTCCAGGTAGCTGTAGTAATTGTGACAGAATATATTTGAGTAACCCTCCCATTCTAACCGATCATAATATATACTGCTTTTATATAAAGGGTGCATTTATTTAAAGGCAGCAAACAGAGTGGAGCTGGTTCTTTAATCCTCAGGCTGACATCCCAAGCTACTATAACAATTGTACAATTGATGGACTATTTAAAAGTAAAGTACCAACTGTAAAAGTAGTCATTGTGCAGATTGGTCCATTTCAGAATAATATATATGATATGTTTTATAATGATTGATCATGAAAGTGTTCTCAAAGCTGGTAAAGGTGCAGCTAGTTTGAATGACTTTGTATACTGCAGGGTAGCTTGTGGATTTACTCCAGGTGGAACTAAAGTCTGATTTAACACTTGATTATATTTCACATCATTCATCCACATCTGTAAAGTAACTAAAGGGATTAAATACATGTAGTGGAGTAAAGGTACAATAGTAATCACTAAATTCTAGTGGGGTAAAATTACAAAGTAGCAAAACATTGAAATACTCAAGTAAATTACAAGTCGAAATTGTACTTAAGTACGGTACTTGAGTAAATGTACTTAGTGACTTCACACCACTGTGCTTACACCTCCATGTCAATGAGGTGCATTGTTATTCAAGATAATTCATTCCACACATGCACCTCAGTGAGCGAGGCCTGCAGGAAGGAGCGTCAGTGTTAGCTTAAGGGAAGTTGTTAAAGTCAAGGTTACTCTAACCACACGGGAAGGTCTGCTGGATGGATGGAAACCAAAAGAAAGTAAGGTCGCTGCTGAAAGATGAATGACTGCATCACTGTGGAGGAGGGATACAGAGTCTGGAATGATAGGCTTCTCAAATACATTGTGGTGTAAGTGGAAATTGTGAGAGAAATGCAGGCAGCCATCCAATTATTGCTTTCAATTAGAAGTTTTACTCGCAATTTACAATAGTTTAATTACAGTTTCAAATGACTTGTCACAACATGAACAGCCACTTCAGGGAGTCGATTATATTCCATTACAGACGACTCATTCACTGTCAGCCACGCTTACTGACAAAGAAACCAATTATCTTCATATGCATTACCATTGTCCAGTGACTATGTAATGTTAAGACAACATGCTAACTTTGCGGAGAAAAAGTCTCATATATTAATGATATTTCATACGGAAGAGGATAAATACATTTAAAAATGAAAATGAAAAACTAAAAATACTTCTGGGGGAATATAAAGAGAGCTGCATTGTTGCAGGACAGTTTGTCTCTGCCTGCCACAGTCTGAGGGAATCGGAATGAGCAGATACACCAGGTCTCACATCTTATATATCTTATATATATATATATATCATATTCTATTTTGTATTAATGTATTATATGAAAAAACATAATATGGCCCCTTTATCACACCGTATAAACAGTATTTCCAACTCTGATTAATCAATGTAACAAATTATGTGTTTATAGAAATTGGTCCTTGTGCACGTGTACTTTTCAAATTATATTAATTTAGGTTTTGGAATCTTCCTGTCATTCAATCCATAACCACATGCTGTGTTTAGGTTCTAGTGCACATACAGTACCTCTACATTGAGATCAGCACCCTGGACAGCGACTGTGATGACTCATTGCTGTTTTGGTAGTTTCAAAAGGAAATGTGAAGAAAAGGGATAATATGTGCTGAGTTAGGACTAGTATTTAATTTAGAACTTGATTTAGGTTTATTAGATTTCAAAATGTATTAGATTTTTTGAGTTTGTGTATAGGTGTTACTATAAAAAAGATAATTCAGTATATTTTTTGTCATGTCTGTTTCTTTTTTCTGTATGCATAGCAATTTGAGGTTTCAACTTGTACTACATGTGTTGTGTACAGCTACCAATGTTACAAGTGTCCTTCTTGTCTATTGCAAGGTTAGTTGAAAAACAAAGTCCCCATGCGACTGTGCAGTCTGCAAGAAACAGACTGAGTGTCCTCAGGGTTCAGAGCAGAAATGTGTAGATGGCATTTGAATACAGTATGGGCACATGCAGCTACCAAACACACCTCTTTGGCCAGTCTGCGGGCTTCATAGTAGGGCCGTGCTTTCTCGATGCAGGCACCGAGCTGGGAGCCCTGAGCATTGAGCCTCCTGGCAGAATCAGTGAGGATCCTCCTGTAGCTGGACCTGGCCTCCTGCAGGGAACACACACACAGACAACACACCACATGTCACATTCAGGTTGTAAATACAGCACTACAATAAACAGTCAATAAACAAACACTACACAAACAACTTCCTCACATCCAGCTGCAGCTCCAGCTTGTTGATCTCATCACTGGCTTGGTTAAGTTGCTCCAGCTCATCCTGGAACCAAAAGGGGAAATTAATATTAAAAACATATATAAAAACAGTACAGAGAAGCTGGACAGATGTAAACAAAGCAATGATTAGGAGTTCAGTGAGGGCACAGAGAGGCTGCCCATCCTGGGTACCAGCCTGTGAGAGGAGCAGGCTGGTGCAGTGTGTGCCCATGTTTATTACGCTTCGCTTAGTTAATATGCAGAAGGTTATTGATATAAAACTAGCTATTCTGTGAAAAAAAACGACAGTAGCCTATCTCTAATAGCTATGTCGGTAAAAATGATCACTGTGCAACATGCCTGAATTCTCGGGTCCAATTCCTCCTCATGTTTGCCGGCTTCTTCCTCCCCTCCGGTGTTTCTCTGGTGCTCCGGTTCGTTCTCACAGTCCGCTTCCATCTCCTCCGCAGGCTCTGCCTCCGCTCCGCTCCGCCTCAACATGCCGCCTCTCGCCTCTTCCCCCGGGGTCTCCTCCCGAGGACCGGTCGGTTCAGGGAACCCCGAGCCGTTCGGGATTTCACGCGACGTCCCTGGCTCCATTTGCGGCCTGTGTCCGGCTGCCGTTTAAATAGCGTTAGCCTCCTGGCTCAACACGGTGTTAGCGGTTAAGCCACTGGAAACATGCCATTTAAAAACTATGAATACTTTTAGCATTCAAATGTCACGCTGATCTTGATATATTAAAACCCTTACATGCTAATGCTAGCAAACACGTAGCCTGGCTGGTATAGGAGCTCGTGAGACTAACAGTGACACCCCGCAATTATCTTCTTGGGTGCTCTTATTCCGTTTACCCCCTTACACAATTTGATATTTTTGTTTTCATGTGTGGCTGTTTTTATGTGTGGCTGTTTTTATGTAGCGGCTACATTGTAGCCTACTAACTTATTTCGTAGATGTCAAATACAATTTAGTCTGTTGCCAGGGGGTCCCTGAACTGATTGCCCCCCCCCCCAATACTGACCATGACTGTTGACATTTAAAGGGCTGTACCACATGATTCACAATACTTAATAATCCCAATATTTTTAAATAAAATAAAAAATAAATAATTTCGTGCTTGCAACTACTTTACCACAAGATGATAATGTAAGTTTCAAGCCAAGTTTCAAAGATAACCATTTTGTTTATGTGGTATTGTTTAAGCATTGCTATATTTGCAAATCAATAAAATGTCATTCTTAAAGATCATCCAAACTCACAACTGCCATACTATTCACTCAGTAGTTGCAGTGACATACTTCACAAAGCCAGCCGGCGGTCCCAATATTTTTATTATTAACATTTCAGTGTGGCAGTATCTATTTATGTGTACCTGTTAACTCATAACTACATGTGTGACAGCTTAAAATAAAATAAATCACAACTGAAATATCAAATTCCTGATTTTCTTCTGAAACGTGCTCCTGAGTAAAGGTCAAATTCAATTATTTGTCTGAAACTCTACTTCTGCTGTCTTTGGGATGCCATGTGTCAAAGTGCTAGTGTAGTGTTTCATTATTATAAAACCAGAATGCTTAAAAATATTGTAAAGAAAATCATATTTTATATAACTGTATAATTGAAGAAAAAGCAAAATACAAATGACTAAATATGTTCCATAGAGGTCAAAGACTCCACTTGTTACTCGTTAAATCAAATGGGCAGAATATATCATTCATATTGATACATTGATTTTTGCAAAGGATATAAGGTAGTATTTTAACTTGGGTTATCTGCAAATGAGTTCTCAATAAGGAAATGAGCGGAGGATTTTAATCCACACTACATGGAAGTCAACATTTTATGAAACATACAAAATAAGTACATAATCTCCACTTTCCTCCAACAGTGCCAGAAATAAACAACTGCGATTCCAGACATCATCACGGTTTCACTTCCTGCTGCTACGTGGTGGACTTCTGTCTTTTCCAGAACCTCTTCACCTCGCTGTGTCCCTGTGGACTCACCACCAGCACCCTGTGAGCCACGTCCTGCCACACCAGGCAACCCAGGCCCTGCAGAGGAACAGCAGCATTAACACCAACAGCATCAGCACATACACAACTCATCCAACAGGTAACGACTGAAGGAGTTCATGGTTGTGTCAATAAATGTTGAGTGGGTTGAAGGGGTAAGGAGATGGAGGTATTGGAGCTATTGTTGAAGTTGAAGGCCTTTGGCTAGCAGTGACTGACGTAAGCTTCTTGACTTTGTTGAAAGTGCACACCTGATGACCCTTTAGAATTGCTATATTGACATTTGAAGTCAACAAATTCACATGTGGAAAGATTTCTGATACCAGAAAGGTTGATAAAGAGTTGCTGTACAAATAATAACATCACAACATAACAAATAACTTTTAGGTTAGTTGAAAGCAATAATATTAGTTAATTTAAACTTAAAGTGGACCTATCATGCTATATTTGAATAATATAGTGTCGGACCATACCTATATAAGGCATATTTATACTTTTTTTTTTTCAAAATACCAAACAGATCATGCATTTTAGCCATGCCTCATTTCGCTCAATTTGACAATTTATAGCTCTGTTTTTGCAAGGGTTGATTCTGTGAGAACAGCACCATCTAGAGGCCTGGCATATGTACTACAGCGTCTCCAGCGCTTTCGAACGGCAATGTCGTGGTTGTCTCCTCCTGATTGGTGGAGTTGGCCCAATAGCCGTAGCGCCACCGTCCTGACGTCAGGACAGTGTTCAAATCTGGATCAGTTTTTATCAGATCCGTTGCAGCCCCTTTTTTAGAGATTTGGGTATGGAGGAAAATAGAGAGGGTTGTGTTTTCTGACACTTGGTGAGTTCCCTGGAACACCGGGGACACATATTCATGTATAAAAGACGTACAAAAGTGCATTTTGCATGATAGGTCCCCTTTAATATTATTGCTTTCAACTAACCTAACACAGTTATGTGAAATCTGATAACATTTATCAAAGTCAATGTTTCACTTTTTTCAGTGTAGGGTCGGGAGGGTTACTTTACAAATGTATTCTGTTACAATTACTAGTTACCTGTAAGATAATGTAATCAGTAACCTAATATGAGCATTCAAATATAAAAGTCATTTGATGACTTCCAATATCAAATGTAATGCAAAGGTACTACAGAGAAGAAATAACATCTGATCCTTTACAACAGACTCTATTTTTACTAACATTGTAATCCTGCTAGTAATCTCCATTTTTAGAAATGTAACAGTAATCTGATTACATCTTTTGTTATGTAACTGTAATGGAATACAGTTACCTTTTTTAAAAACATCCTGATTACCTTATCTCATCACATTTAATGTGTTACTCCACAACCAACAGGCTAAACACAGTGAACAGTGATGTTGCTCTCAGATGAGACTGTGGCAGCGGTGCCAGCTGATGGAGTTTGCCTTCATCAATAAACAATCTTAATGAAATATGAAAAGCTTTCTGAACGTCTGAATACTCATCTTTTTTGCCCTATCGATTTATTTTTAGTGATGATGCCACATTCATGCCACAGCAATTAGTCACTGATGTACAGTGTTATCGCTGTTGTCCAAAACTAAGACCTACAAGTAAGGATTTGTTTTCTTTAAAGCAGCCTATTATGCTTTTGGGTTTTCTCTTTCCTGTAGTGTGTTCTATATGTTTGTGTGCCCCTGTGTTTTCTCCAAAGGGGGTGTCTCTCCCACACACTATATATTAGTGGTCTATAGTATTAACAAGGTGTACAGTAGAAGTTATCACTGAGAGCAGGACAGAAAAGGACAGAAAATAATGTCACTAAATCTAAACTGATTATTAAATCAATATTGTGCTATTCAGTGTCAGATATGAGAGCGTATCTAACCTGAGCTCTGTCCCGCAGCACCTCGAAGTCCACCTGCGAGAGGAACTGGTTGTAGAGCACTCCTGAAGGAGAGACACAGGGGAGGAAAGAGGTTAAAGGTCAGCACAACGTCGATACTCATCATCTCTATACTGTGTACCACAGCTCAGTGACAGCTCCACTCTGTAGACGTCAGTCAGCAGGAGAAATCAATCAGCTCTACACAGCTCACATGCACTTCTGTTGAACCCCATTTATCAAATATAGACCTTTTCTACAGGACAAAGGAACGTTTGACAATGTCACTGAAGCTGCAAAAAGAGTCAACTCTCAAATCAAAGCCAAATAATGTTAGGCCCTTAACAACATGTACAACTAAAGGCCATCCACTCATAAAAGCATGGTCACTAACCTGCCAATAGTACACATTGTAAAGCCTGATTCAAAGGGGTTAAATCGGGCTGGGCAGCCGCGGCACCTATTCCTACGCTGTTCAAAATTGGGTTGAAAATACGTGCTGCATATCAAATCAAGCGCTCTCTTAACTAACAGCGATTGATATATTATGACTTTTTGGAGAGCCGTCATCTCGACTCAGCGACACGTAATCCAAACATTTGAATAATTCCTGTGATTCTTTCATACTGCAATACATACTGCCAAAAGAGTAACATTGCCAGGTTTTTGTCTAACACGGTGCAGCCTTCATTTTTACGTTACAAGGGTGGTAGCACAACATTGAGGTGAAGGCAAGGCTCTTTTTCATCGAAATCTTTATAATCATTTCAGCCATAATTGTGCAGGATAATGTGTAAGGAAGATGGTAAGGAAATGGTGAACTCACCCTCTGTGAACGTCAGGCGGTCTCTCTCCAGCTCCCACAGTCTGATCTGATCTGTGATGGTGGGGGGCAGCACCGGGGTCTGCAGCACAGGGGGGGGTGAACACACTGAGCCAAGCCACAATCAATTGTATTGCACTTCTGTACTGCTTTAACCTGTGTCCAGTTTCGTAATCTGCATGTTTAATTTTAGTTTGGTTATATTAGCATTTCCTGTATGGTAATATAGTTTGGCTTGTTTCTGAGGATTAACTTGCTTTTATGGTGACTTTGCAACATCTGTCTAAGGACTACAGATTTTTTAAAAAGCCTCTTGGCGCATTTACAGCAATGTTTATAAATGCGTCACTGTTAAATAAACTCATGAATTAAATTAATTAATTAAAGGCCAACCACTTAATGTTATAATTATTAGAAAGAAGTGTGAGGAGAGCAGATTGGATGCATGTACCTGTTTGAGCATGACAGGGTGCGCTCTGGTCCGTAGGAAGTGGATAATCTGAAGAGAAAAAAGACTTCACATAAATCTGCAATCCCAGTCAAGATCCCCCCTTGATTACCTGACCCCCCCATCTGTAGTAGACCATTGTGTGCAGTATGTGAGTACCTGTTGTGCTGTGATGCCGTTGGCGATGGCTTGCTGCACTGACTCCCTTGTTACCTGGGCAACCACGACGTTGGGGAAGCGATAGAGCATCTCGCTGAAGAGAGCCACCAGAGCGATCTGCAGCTCTGAGTCTGTAACAGTCACAGATCTGTTAGTCTGCACACTGCTCTGCGTTCTGATCAAACTCACTGAGAGCAGGGAATACATGCTGGTACACTTTACATGTGTTGGTATGGGTGGTTTTGAACATTGGGCAATACAAGGCTATTGTTGTGTCTCTATATATGTCTGTACGTACATTTGCCTAAGGGCGTCCCAATGTGAAGTATGGCCAAATGCACTTTGATCACCCGGTGCACTAAAACGCTCAAAAGTTACTTTGCACTCTCAATAGCCATATTGGCTACGCAATGCAAGTGGCTCTAACAGCTGCGATTGTTAACATGGTGTGATTGTGAACACAGCACCAAACTAATAAAGGTTACATAAGTGAGTTTTTTCAATATTTTCAAAAAATACATTACTGGTGTTCAAATAAGGCTGTGTCATATTATTTGGTAAATTGAGCAGACTTTTTTTAATGATTTGGTAGTGCAAATGTTAAACCTTTCTAACTAGCTAGCTAGCTCACAGCGTCAATCGTCACTTCCTGTGAGGAAACTGAACACTTCACAGTTGAAAGTCAAACACAGGCGCGAGTGTTCACAGTGTACAACATAACAGTGTACTAAGGGAAGTATTTAAATCTGACACTGCATAGCAGTGTCCCCCGCATTAGCTTTATGCTAAGCTAACCATGTGCTGACTTCGGACCCTCAAACACACATATCAGAGTGATGTTCATCTGATGATCTCATACTCAATAAGAATGCAACAGTTGATCCTTCTTTCAAAAATGTATACGTTGTATATCTTGATAGTTTTGTAGTCACTGGTTTTAATAATCTAACTGTGGTGCGGTTCACCTGTTTTTTGTAGTTATGTAGAACTACATCCAGCGGCTTCTAGTATTAATATATATGAACCTCTCAGCCTTCTTAGGAGTGATTTCATATGAACAGGAACCTTGTGTAGATGTAGTTGTTTGTGTTAACAGGCATCACAAACATCTTCCAGTGATCAGACATACCTGTGTATGCGTAGAGACGGTAATTGGTTTCTACGACGATGAAGCCTGCGTCTCCGGTCCCAGGCGTGGCCAGGGTGGAGGAGGTGGAGGTGACCCCTGCAGCCAGAGTGATGGCCAGTCTGGTGGGGTAGTACCGCCGCGACTTCCTCTGATAACCACACACAGAAGAATGACGTATCGTACACTAAACTGACACCGTAGGACTATACACTAAGCATGACTCATTTTCTCAGTTTCATACACATATGACATTATCTTGGCAAATGATTGCATTTTGAGAGCATATTCATTGCAAATGGATAAATCCAAAACATTAGTGAAATGGTGAAACCGATAACTAATTATTCGTGCTCACTACTCATTCCTTTATCAAGTAATCGAAAGCTGACCTATGATTCGTTTCCCAAGCTAAGAATCCATGCCCGACCACCGATAGTAAACCTTATTACTAATTAGGCCTGATTCAGCTATCTGTTGAACACAGCGATCAGATCTTACATTTACTGCAAGCCTCCTAACTATGTGGAAATATGATGCCCAACCCCTTGGATTCCGCCTTTAAATGTATATACATGTGTTCTAGTTGTATTACTGTATATTTATCCCATGGCACTTTTCATTTGCCATAGTCAGCTGATATTGCTATATACTGTATAATACGCCATCATCTACCAGAAAACAATCTTTCTTATCTTTCATATTTGACCATGTTCAGTCTGAAATGCAGTTAATTAATTATGCCCAATCCGACAACTTCTTATGTTTTTATAAATATTTTATATACAGTATATTCTATCTGTAACAAAACCCAATTTTCCACTGCTTATTCATTTTAATGTAGAGTATCTTTTTTGATTAATTTTCTAGTTTTCAATGCAAGTCATTAGGTTGATACCGCCTCCTCATGAGGATGAGTGAGATGAGATGTGACTGGGGGGGGGGGTCTGACACAGTGGTAGTGGATGCTCCCTCACCTTCCTCTGGAACACCAGTCCGAACTCCCTCAGGTGCTGCAGGAAGGTGAGCAGCGAGTCGCTCATGCCCTCCACCGAGTAATCCTGAGACACAGGAAACACACCGTCAGTGACAGGAAGCACACAGTGAGCAGGACTATTAAAACTGTCAGCATCAAACACTCACTCTGCCCAGAGTGGAGAAGCTGAGCTGGAACAAGAAGGACAGGATCTCCACCAGCTCCATCCCTCGGGACTGCAACACACCACAGGGTCACACAGAGGCAGATCATAACCAGCATGGACAAATAAACCCTGAACAACCAACAATAGCAGAGATTGGAAGTACTGGTATATCTCAAATCATAATTCAACATAATGTACATTTTCACAGTCATACTTCTTTTGACCTGAATACTGTTAAACTACGGTCACTGAAGCCTGACCCTTCCTGCAGATATTTGACTTAAAGGACATATTTTCCTTTATTTTCTTTAATAATTTTATTCTGATAACTTACTTTGTAAAATATCTCTTTATCTCTATCTTTACATTACATGACATGTTACTTGTTAGACGCTTTTATCCAAAGCGACTTACATACTCAATACTGTGGGCAATCCCCACAGGAGCACTTTGGGGTGAAGTGTCTCAGGGACACAACGACATGCTGACTGCAGTGGGGTTTGAACCTGTGCCCCCCTGGGTCCTCATTTATAACGCCTTGCGTAGGATTCACGTGGGAAGGTTGCTTACGTAGGACAAAGCAAAAAAATAGGTACAGAAATGTTCCGATTCACAAAACATTGCGTACCGGCGAGGGAAGTGCGTACGGCACTTCCTACGCCTGTTTCCCTTTATAAATCACAATCGACTCGAAATGCGGCGCAGCTTTTGCGGGCTTCACGTAACGCCCATATTTGCTTATAAATAGTCAAAGAAACGCCCATCCATTCATTCATTTTGACTGACTGCATGAAGAAGATCGCAAGAAATTACGACAGAACAGCTAAAAAAGACATCTCACACCGAGTCAGATTTTGGTTATTGTGGGGAGGTTGAGATAAATCATAATGTTTGGTGGATGCAGTTTGAACCAGAGTAGCAGCATGGAGGTCGGATCGTCACCAAAATAAATAAATAAGTGGTCTGAAAAAAGTTAATGACAAAAAAAATACACATAACCTTCAGGCAGTGTGTTTGTACCGGGGACAGGAGACACCCCCCTTGATGAGAAACTGTAAGAAATGATCGGGGAATCCCTCCGGAGTGGAGTCATGACGACTGGATCTGAATTATTTTGTTGTATTTGGTGGTTTGTGTTCCAGCTGTCGATCAGCAACTATATATCCATAATCCACCAGTTAAAGGAAATACAACTAATGTGTTGTGTTATATTAGCTGTACAATTGACCACATATGGTGTTCTTAGTTTCCATACCTCCTGTGTTTTATAAATCGCAAACATTGCGTAGAAACTGGCGTACGCCATTTTTTTTTAGTGTATATCCCTTTATAAATGAGGCCCCTGATCCGAACACCAACGCACAACCCACTGCACCACACGCCTCCCTCTATCTCTTTCTATGTTTCATTATTTATATTTTTATTGAAGGTTTTTGGAAGAAATCAAACTTTGTAACTTGTTGAAATGCTTAATGTAGAGTATTTAAAACCCCCACTCACAAAGTAAAACTGAAATGATACACACAACTTACTTTGTTAAATACATTCCTTAGCATACAGGTTTAAATGCTGTTCCAAAAACTCCACACTGCCAGAAATACAATTTGGTTGTAAAAAGTAATAATAACGTTACTTATCTATTAATTTCCCTGAAAGTAGTGAGGTCTGAAAACATGGTTTTTGTATTAGGCATGTTTCCTTTTCTCTACACAAAGGACTAAGATGAATGGATCTGAAGCTGTTTAAATGTTCCTCAGTCAGTGGTTACCATTATGCAGTTTCATGGCAGTTCAGCCCACTTTGTTTGCATTTCTTTCAAATTCATTCGTTATTTCTTTGCTCTAATACTTAATTCTTCAGGCTTATAAAAGGCCATTAAGCAGAGTCTGGTAGCAAGATGTGATCCTTGATGGTACATGGATGATAACCACTGGTTGAAGTAGTTAAAGGTAATCAGGTCCGAGTATCAGAGGGCACACAGGTACCTGGGCAGTGTTCAGGTACTGGAGGGTGAAGTACCACAGCTGAGAGGCGGTGTCCAGCAGGAGGAACTGGAACCCAGCGGAGGTGATGTAGGGCGCCTCGCCGGCCTCACTGACACACACACACACACACACACACACACACACACACACACACACACACACACACACACACAACACACACACACACACACACACACACACACACACACACACACACACACACACACACACAACACACACACACACACACACACACACACACACACACACACACACACACACCCACACACACACACACACACACACACACACACACACCACAAACACACACACACACACACACACACACACACACACACACACACACACACACACACACACACCACACACACACACACACACACACACACACACACACACACACACCACACACACACACAACACCTAACCACAGAACAGCTTTTAAAAGTAGTGTATCAGCACTTGATATGCAGCCAACACTATACATCATGAATATTGAAGTAAAAAGAAAGCTGACAATATACTTTATATACGATTATATATTAACACATGGAATAGACAAACATTTTTGACTTGAATCAGTGTGCACCTCTTCATGAGGCCGGCCTGTACGAGCAGCAGGGCGAGGTCCTGGCTGACGGCGGCCCCGGGGGAGCCCACCATGAACTGCAGGATGACCTCCCCAGCGCTCCATGGCGTAGCGGTCCAGGACTCAGGATGTCCGCGCGTGGGCGGTCCGGACCCAGAGAGCTGCCCTCATCCGCCCAGGCTTTGCCCCTGCAGGACACAGCAGGGGAACCCCAGACTGAGTTATTTCTGAGAGTACTGCAGGTCAGTCTAATGTCTGTTTGGCTTAATAATACAATATTAAAAGCACCTACCCGCCCAGCAGAGCGATCCTCAGGTTGTCTTTGAACACTGGATTTAAAATATATCCCTGCAGACCCCCCTGCAGCTGCTGACTGTGCCACAGGCGGAGTCCTGCCAACACCGACACACACTCATCGTGATCCCTGCAGGAAAGGAGACACACACACACACGCACACACACACACACACAATGAGCTGAACTGGTTTTTAGTTTTAAAAAGCTGCTAACCCTATAGGGGTTAGCACACAAAGTAACAGTGAGTGGTTCTGGATTGTTCTGCTCTGAAGTTGTCTTATATCAGAAGTTGTTGTCACATCAAAGAGTCCTTAAGATTCACACAGTGAGGAGTAGATTGTACATTTGAGTCAAATGTAGTACTGATCTAGGGTCTGTACTCTGTCAAACAGTCTGAGTTGAGGTAGAAGAATCAGTATCATGGGGGTAAAGTTTGATTGTTGCATCTCTAAGTCATCATGACTAGTAAAACTCCATCCAATCCCACTTTATAAGCTACTAGAGGTGTGTTAAACATTACATTACATGACATGTTACTTGTTAGATGCTTTAATCCAAAGCGACTTACATACTCAATACTGTGGGCAATCCCCACAGGAGCAATTTGGGGTGAAGTGTCTCAGGGACACAACGACATGCTGACTGCAGTGGGGTTTGAACCTGTGCTCCCCTGATCCCAACACCAAGGCTCTATCCACTGCGCCACACGCCTCCTTAAAGATAAGGGTACCACTTTACAATAAGACTACCCTGATAAAGGGTTTACGAATAGTTTGTAATTCATTTATTAATTAGGTTGTGAACACTTTAAAAATCATTAATAAGCTTTTATAAGACATGAGATAAACAGGGCGACTGTGACCGGTTGCTTGCCAAATAGTGAGCCCACATTTATCTGTACTGCTGTCTTATATTGGCTACCTAGCTTACTTCATCTTCTTCCTCAGCCAGCATCCTTGGTATCTGTTGTTCACTGAGTTGATTCTCGCTAAATAGCCAATATAAGGCTTAGTCATCTTGCTAAATAGTGAGCCTGTGTTGATCTATGTTACAACTGGTTTATAAATGGTTCTTAATGATTAATAAAGTGTTTACAACCTAATTCATAACCTAATTATAAACCCTTTATGAATCCTTTATAAGGGTAGTCTTATTGTAAAGTGGTACCAAGATAAGTAACTTACTTCTGACTGTCTATTTTCACCCATAACGCCAGAGCTGCCTGTGGGAGGGGCTGATCCAGGAACAGCATGCGCATCACATAGTTCTTGGCCAAAGAGGGGAGTTCCCTGTGAAGATCAGACACAACACAAAGGGGTCACACACACATGAAGGGGTCACATGTCCACATCAGTACATCAGCTGCCGCCTCCTACCTGTACACAGCCAGGCATGTGGCCGGGTGGTCGTACAGTCTGTCCAGGACCTCCGGGCTCAGCTCCCTCAGGTACTCATGCAGGTTCTTACACTGCAGCTGGACCCGCAGCTTCATTATCTAACCGAGAGCGGGGTCCTTAAACGCGTAGTTGTGTTGATCCCTTAGCGTACATAGGGATCGAACTACATGTGACAGAGGAGTTATTATTCTATCAATACACCCTTTAATTCAGTATACGTAGGCATATGTTTACGCATGTTTTACTAAGTGTGGCAGTTTGTTAACAGCTCATTCTGAAATGTTACATTCATGACACTCGCTCACAAATAAAGCTACTACTGGTGAAAACAGCCCTGAAATAAGCCTCGTTATTATATGGATGTAAAATTAATTAATTACCGTGAAGACGGATATCAATTATCAACGAATACCTGACAATAAAGTGAATTTACTGAACTAAATAACTGCATTGTTGTCACTCGGCATTTCTTCGCTGTGTGGCCATGTTTCCGGCTTATCGGCTATCTTCTTCTTCGGCTATTTCTAAGGTCATAGGGCGCAGTATCGCCACCTGCTGGACTGAGTGTACATAGCAGAGATAGGAATGTATGAATTCTCAATTTTAAAAAAAGGGACAAAACGCCATTCATCATGTGAGATTCCACCAATGTTCTCTATAGTCCGAAAGAACAACACACATTATCAAAACATAAACAGATTTATAGAAGTTAAATGTGACATTGTGAAGTGTTATATCTGCACATGCACATCTGTCTAACACTAATGCAGTCAAATACTTTAGAACTGTTTCACCTGATGTTTAACTGTGCCATGGTTAGTTTGGAGTGCTGTGTTATACTGATGGTGTTTCCTGCATGACAGTTGTAGCCTATTAGAGAAGACAGCATTTGTTTTTAGCTTTGTGTGGCTACAAATATTAAAACTCCCTTTATTGTTTCCCCCTAAAAGCACTGTTGATTTAACATTCCTTTTAATTAAAGAATTAAAAACGTCCGCAACCGAGACCCAAGACGAGTAGATCCCCAGGATCTATCAGTCATGTTGCAAATTAGGGAAAAATATGTAGTCAAATATTAGGGGGGGGAATTAACAATTTAGGGAGTACGTGAAGGCTTGGAAAATGTATTAAAACAATATAACTTTTTACAGGTTAATGTAAGGAACAGCCATGAGTAGGATGTTTAACTACCACCCAGCCCTTCAGCTTAACTAAACAATGATCTGTTTCGAAACACCAAACAGATCATTGCAGCATTACCCATAATCCCCTCTTTTCAGCCCTGTTTCCAAAGTGCTGATTCTCTGTCTGTTACTTTAGATGAAAATAAGGAGCCCCTCCCCACGCCCCTCTGAGAGAGATTTGGTTACAAAGAACTCAATGGTGCTCTAGGAGGAGATTCAGGTGATAAGGTGGGGGGGGGCTAATGGTTACACAAGACAAAACATCGTTATGACATCATAAAGTGGCCAAAATCTGATCAGCTCATTTTCAGACAGGTTTTTATAGAAATGGATCAGGACAAAAAGAGAGAGAATCTTTGTTCCTGAAACTTTCAGAGTCTCTTTACACAGAGGGGACACATGTTGATGTAGAAGAGACATGAGGAAGAGGGGACACATGTTGATGTAGAAGAGACATGAAGAAGAGGGGACACATGTTGATGTAGAAGAGCATGAAGAAGAGGGGGACACATGTTGATGTAGAAGAGACATGAAGAAGAGGGGACACAGTTGATGTAGAAGAGACATGAAGAAGAGGGGACACATGTTGATGTAACTGAAGAAGAGGGGACACATTAGAAGAGACTGAAAGAGGGGACACATGTTGATGTAGAAGAGACATGAAGAAGAGGGGACACATGTTGATGTAGAAGAGACATGAAGAAGAGGGGACACATGTTGATGTAGAAGAGACATGAAGAAGAGGGGACACATGTTGATGTAGAAGAGACATGAAGAAGAGGGGACACATGTTGATGTAGAAGAGACATGAAGAAGGGGGACACAATGTTGATGTAGAAGAGACATGAAGAAGAGGGGACACATGTTGATGTAGAAGAGACATGGGAAGAGGGGACACATGTTGATGTAGAAGAGACATGGAGAAGAGGGGACACATGTTGATGTAGAAGAGACATGAAGAGAGGGGACACATGTTGATGTAGAAGAGACATGAAGAAGAGGGGACACATGTTGATGTAAGAAGAGACATGAAGAAGAGGGGACACATGTTGATGTAGAAGAGACATGAAGAAGAGGGGACACATGTTGATGTTAGAAGAGACATGAAGAAGAGGGGACACATGTTGATGTAGAAGAGACATGAAGAAGAGGGGACACATGTTGATGTAGAAGAGACATGAGAAGAGGGGACACATGTTGATGTAGAAGAGACTGAAGAGAGGGGACACATGTTGATGTAGAATGAGACATGAAGAAGAGGGGGACACATGTTGATGTAGAAGAGACATGAAGAAGAGGGGACACATGTTGATGTAGAAGAGACATGAAGAAGAGGGGACACATGTTGATGTAGAAGAGACATGAAGAAGAGGGGGACACATGTTGATGTAGAAGAGACATGAAGAAGAGGGGACACATGTGATGTAGAAGAGACATGAAGAAGATGGGGACACATGTTGATGTAGAAGAGACATGAAGAAGAGGGGGACACATGTTGATGTAGAAGAGACATGAAGAAGGGGGGACACATGTTGATGTAGAAGAGACATGAAGAAGAGGGGACACATGTTGATGTAGAAGAGACATGAAGAAGAGGGGACACATGTTGATGTAGAAGAGACATGAAGAAGAGGGGACACATGTTGATGTAGAAGAGACATGAAGAAGATGGGGACACATGTTGATGTAGAAGAGACATGAAGAAGAGGGGACACATGTTGATGTAGAAGAGACATGAAGAAGAGGGGACACATGTTGATGTAGAAGAGACATGAAGAAGAGGGGACACATGTTGATGTAGAAGAGACATGAAGAAGAGGGGACACATGTTGATGTAGAAGAGACATGAAGAAGAGGGGACACATGTTGATGTAGAAGAGACATGAAGAAGAGGGGACACATGTTGATGTAGAAGAGACATGAAGAAGAGGGGACACATGTTGATGTAGAAGAGACATGAAGAAGAGGGGACACATGTTGATGTAGAAGAGACATGAAGAAGAGGGACACATGTTGATGTAGAAGAGACATGAGAAGAGGGGACACATGTTGATGTAGAAGAGACATGAAGAAGAGGGACACATGTTGATGTAGAAGAGACATGAAGAAGAGGGGACACATGTTGATGTAGAAGAGACATGAAGAAGAGGGGACACATGTTGATGTAGAAGAGACATGAAGAAGAGGGGACACATGTTGATGTAGAAGAGACATGAAGAAGAGGGGACACATGTTGATGTAGAAGAGACATGAAGAAGTGGATTTTGCATAATAGGTGACCTTTAAGAAATCATTCATTTTCTAAAGAAATGTTTACATAAAATATAAATGAGCACCTTGAGTCTACTGATATGAAATCAGTTGGTCACATGACGCTGCCTTTGGTTGATGAAGCTGAGCTCTGAAGCACTTAGCCTGTAGCTCTTGAACTTTGCTGTCTTTTGGCTAACTACAGATTCTTCCACATCCTGATGTTTGTGAAATATCATCATTATTTTAAACATTTAAATCCATGGAGGCCCACTCCGTCGCATATTTCAAATGTCAAAGGAGGCCATAAAAATGTAGTACTTTCACTGTACAAACCCTCATTGGGATGACATGTATAGTCTATAGCTGTGTAATGCATTCACCTTTAATGCAGAAGTGTTTTAAAGATCACATTAAGTCCCATTGGATGTTGATTTCAGCCAGTACATTAAGGTCAATGACTTTTAATATATTTATCAAGTCATACAAAAAACATAACAAACAGCATCAACACATTCCTTCGAATATATTGTATTGGGGAAGTTCTCATAGATTAAGCATGTCATGGGGATATGGTATAAATGTTCATATTTTACCCCTTAAAAATGTGATAAAGTTTAATTTCTGAACATAAAGATTGTTTGATGCTCAAAAGGTAAACAAAATACAACTTGAGTTAACGTATCTCATTCATTAAAGTTCAATTTGGGCCTTGGAAGCTGTAGTCAAACAAGACAAATCTTCACCAGGAGAAGATCATCAATGAGCTCCAGTAGTTCTGTAAAACTGTAGAAGGCCACAAGACAAGAGCAACTAACAAGTGGTCCCTGAGTAAAGATGATTTTTTGTCAAATGTCATTCAAAATGCTAAGAATTCAAGAAGAGTGACAGCATTATTAGATAAGCAGGTGGAGGGCCGTTGTCATGTACAATCCCTCTGAAGCACACAGAGAGCCGGGCTTCTCCTCAGGAGTCCTCCTTCTCTTGATATCTGAAAGATTCAAATGAAAATGATCAGCAGGAGATCCCACAGCAGCAGCTTTCATTTACAGGGATGAGTACATGTCACATTACCTGCAGCTTATACAGGTGAAGAAGACGGTCTGCCCTTCGTCTGCAGACCTCATCTGCCTGGTGTGGTACACCATGCCCTCCTTGTTGCAGCGGGAGCAGCGCCTGTCGATCTGTGAGGAGACGGAGAGCCGTTAGCACAGAGATCAGCTGATCACCACACAGAGGAGAGAGAGGGTGTGTGTGTGTGTGTGTGTGTGTGTGTGTGTGTGTGTGTGTGTGTGTGTGTGTGTGTGTGTGTGTGCGTGCGTGTGCGTGCGTGTTCTCACCACGGCTCCCTTCAGCTCCGAGCTGTCCTCGTCCTCCAGAGTCACCGTGGACTGCTCCACAGGGTTAAAGACCACCGAGGAGCGGATCTCCAGCCCCGAGAACTCTGCATGTGAAGGGATGATCAGTGGAAACATGTGCCATTAAACAACAACTATGTACGTTATGTAAGGTTTACATATGTGCGATTTTTCAAAGCCGTTCTAAATTATAAAAATGAATATTCAAAGATGTTTTCGGACAGAGAAAAACTAATGTTAGTTTTCCACAGCTGATCCTCTCCACTCCTTAGCAGTGGTCTGTTGGCGAAAATTAACAGACCTCTGGAATGTCCAAATGAACCAATCAGAATAGAGTATTCAACTAAGACGTGTAGACAAATAATAAATACCACATTTTTTTTGTTGGGGCCCCAATGGCATTGACCGGTTCACGCAGTCTTCAAAGTAACCAAGCAACCTAAATTCATTTGTAATTTGTCTGTCCAATGACCTTGCTCCCTTTCATGTCATGTGATACCTTGCGAGACGAGCGAACCTTTTAATCAACCTGTACTGTACTGTAGCTAGCAGCAGCAACTTCGGCAGCATTATAAAAAATGTAATAGCTTGCATTTATAATGTACAGCAAACCAAAACAATATTTGCACCGGGGCCAATCACAACCTTGTTACGCCACTGAAGCCATAGCCCCGCCTCTCCCCACCTCTGCTGCTCACTGCTGTAGCATGGTCAGTAGCTACTGCTGTAGCTGACCATGCTACAGATGTTAGTGCAAAATCTACAGCTCCTCTACCACAACCATCAGCAACAAGTGGACATGGAGAACTACATGAACTACATGTTGCTAAATCCACCGCGGAGAATAACCAGAAGGGCAACCAGGCAACCATGGCAACCATGCTCGGGGGGTCTTCTTAGCCTAAGACATGCTCTTTGGTGGGTTATGCTTTTGCCAAATTTCAGGAGATGCTCGGACAGATCCCGAAAAAGATGGTAAATAAATTGGATCTCCAAGGTGAATCTGAGCAGCATGCATGGGAATAACATACAATATAAGAATGAGTGTATATTTGTGGTTCTGCCCTTCATGTTCTGTCACTGCTGCACAGTGATGTCCCTCATTGAGTCAGCCAAGCAGCAATTCCATCATTCAGCCACTACAAAAAACTTGCTTCGACGTCAGTTTTTCATGGTTTACAGTTATTCTCAAGCCTTACTGGATTACGTGTAGTACATCAAATAATGAGAGGCCATGTCTTCCTGTTTACTCTCTTTCATACACATTCACCCACAGATACAGTCATACTGTGGGACTGACCCCCGGTGTGGGGGGTCTGTAGCTATGATTTATTTTGGGGCAGTGATCAGGGGGGGTACCTGCTACAGGGATGCAGAAGGAGCAGCGGGGGCAGCGCACCACGTCCTGGATCCCCGGCAGAGGGAGGACATTCCCACACTCTGGACAGAAGTTTGGATCACCTCCAAAACATGACATCTCTCTGAGGAGAAGAGAAGGGACTGTGCAATCACAGCAGCACCAGGGTTAGCACCAGAGTTAGCACCAGACCAAATGCAGCCATAATATAGACCTTTAAAATATATTAAGTTACAGTCTAGTCGTTGTTTAAACGAGATCTGTGCATTTATTTGAGAAACTTTATCAGGTTATAGTGAAGGGGCTAACGTCTGTTTACTGGATTGTGTCACTCTTTTTAAGGTTGTTAAAGTCCTTCACACTCTGGGCTTCAAAATAAAAGTATTTATTGTAAGAACTTTAAGCACAAAATAGCACATCATCTCAGAGAGCACGTGACTTTAGCACTACCATTATGTATTGTTCAGATCATGGCTTAATGGCTTACCTGCTGAAGTGTAAATGACGTCACCAGCCTCAGGTAACACGCAGTTTTAAGCGGTAGATGGATAATAACTGTCTGTGATGTTAATGTAAGTCTGCTGTGTGTTTACATTCAGCATGCTCCACACCGCGGGGTCCTTTAACTCCTCGTCCCTTGACGTGACGTCATATGTCTGCGCATATGTCAGCGCTTGTTTTCAAGTTTATGCATCTATGGTCTCAGCTTTAAATGAGTGAGACTATGGATTCTGGAGGCAATCTCTTCTGAACAATTCTGCACTAGACATAAATTCAAACCCCCAAAATTCGATTTTATTAAACTACATAATGAATGTGTGTGACTCACCAAACTAAAGTGCCCCTCATTATTTATTTAAGGGATATTCATTCTGGATAAAACATGCAATAATCACTTTATAAGGAAGTGTCTCATTGAAAAAGTATTTCCTGGTCGACAAAACAGAAATGAGATCCCACACAAATTCGACAATAAGTCAATAAATAAGCCAAGAACTATGATCTAACATTCCCTTTAGCACCAACAACAAAAGAAACACACTTCAAAATGATGAACAACATTTATCCCTCTAAGGAATTGGTTAGAATACGTTTCAACATTGAAGATCATAACACATGCTCAATATGTGAAAATTATGTTGAAATTACGGACCAAGTCTTTTTCTCATTCTATATTCTCATTCATATCTACAATTTGTAGCCAACAGAAGTTCTGGTTTGATATTCATAAATGGAGAAAAATGATCAACTCTGCTGTAATGTAATTGTATGTCTTGCCAAATGTTTCATTGACAATCTTGAATCGAATCCCAAAGTCATCCCCTAGATTGGTTGTCTATCATGCTATATTTGAATAATATAGTATAGGACCATACCTATATAAGGCATATTTATACTTTTTTTTTTTCAAAATACTAAACAGATCATGCATTTTAGCCATGCCTCATTTTGCTCAATTTGACATTTTTTAGCTCTGTGTTTGCAAGGGCAGATTCAGTGAGAACAGCACCATCTACTGGCCTGGCATATGTACTACAGCGTCTCCAGCGCTTTCGAACGGCAATGGCCGTGGCTGTCTCCTCCTGATTGGTGGAGTTGGCCCAATAGCCGTAGCGCCATCGTCCTGACGTCAGGACAGTGTTCAAATCTGGATCAGTTTTTATCAGATCCGTTGCAGCCCCTTTTTTAGAGATTTGGGTATGGAGGAAAATAGAGAGGGTTGTGTTTTCTGACACTTGGTGAGTTCCCTGGAACACCGGGGACACATATTCATGTTTAAAAGACGTACAAAAGTGCATTTTGCATGATAGGTCCCCTTTAAGTGAGTTTCAGTGGTAGCCTACTTGAAATCCTTAAAAATACAAAAAGGTAAAAAAGCTCAACGTTTATTCAATATTCTGAAGGAATTCCCTAAAGATCCAATTGACTGAAACAGAACAATTCTTTCCCCCTTGTTTTAGATTTGTGTCTTGCTTGTTGTTTTATTTGTTTCCTATTTTATTTTTTGTGACGCACGTGAGTTTGTAGTGTATTTGAATAATTTGACATTACAAAGAATAAATGTTCAAATTACACAAAATGTATTGCATATACAGTAAGATGTTGCTCTGCCCCTTTTCCTGTCTTAATAATAACGTTTCCTTTAGAATTCTACATATACACATATCCTGCAAAAACAAAAGATAATTTAAAACCTAAAATTGAATATTCTTGTATGTGAATCAAGAGGGAAAACACATTTTTTGTTTGTTCTATCACTTCAGGCGGTATCTGTTGTGCACCCTCGGCACAGAGAACAGGGTCTTTATTCCACGTACTTCCTGGTTCCCAAGAAGACGGGGGAATTCAGACCCATTCTAGATCTCCGCAGCCTGAATTGCCTGCAAAAAATTCCATATGTTAACTATAAAACAGTTATTGGACCTAGTGCAGCCGGGCGATTGGTTCACAACCATCGACCTGAAGGACGCTTACTTTCATGTCGAAATTGCTCCAGAGCACAGAAAGTATTTGTGTTTTGCCTTCCAGGGGGTGGCCTACGAGTACAACAGACTGCCGTTCGGCTACTCCCTATCCCCACACGTTCAGCAAATGTGTGGCCACAGCGCTGCAGCCGCTTCACGGCCATGGCATGAGGGTTTTCTTATATCTGGACGACCTCATAGTCATGGCCAGATCCAGGGAATGGGCAATGTTTCATTTTTTTTTTCAGGACAGTCCGCCCTTGGGGGTGGACGCGTTTGCACACGAGCCATGGCCAAGGAAGCTGCTCTACGCCTTTCCACCACTGCGCCTCATTCTCCCTCTCCTGGAGAGAGTGAGACGAGAGCTTCTGTCAGTCATCCTAGTAGCGCCGGATCGTCGTGGAGCACCGTGGTACGCAGAGTTGACACAGATGATGGTGGGCCAGCCCTCAGTTCTGGGGGGCGATGTCTCAGGAAGCAGGTGCAATCGGGGCGTTACCCACTCTGGGCCAACCTCTCCAGGCTTGGCTCCTGAGAAGGACAGGCTGAGACGGGGGGGATTTTCTGACTAGGTTATCCAGACTATCCAGGCAGCAAGAGCAGGATCCACCACAGCCTGTTACAGGCCAAAGTGGTTGGGTTTCCAGCAATGGTGTGAGGAGCGGAGTCTAGAGCCCCTATCTTGTACGTTGGGCTCTATTCTGTCCTACTTACAGATACTGGTGGACAGGGGGCTGGCTCATTCCACAGTTAAAGTGTATGCAGCAGCCATCTCGTCCTGCCATGAGGGATTTGGCGGCAGGTCAGCCTTCAGTCAGCCGCTTATGTCGCGGTTTTTGCAGGGGGTCAGCAGGCAGCGCCCAGTAGTGCACGCCTCCGCCCCGCAGTGGGACCTGCCGTTGGTGCTCGAGGCTCTGGTCTCAGAACCATTTGAGCCTCTGGAGCTCTCCTTCCTAAAAGCACTGTCATGGAAGACAGCGTTGCTGCTTGCCTTGACTTCAGCCAAGAGAGTGTCCGAGTTAACCGCTCTGTCGGTGCACCCAAGTTGCTTGTTAATCCGGGGTGACCGTAGCGGGGCGACACTGAGGCCGACACTCAGACCGACAGTCAGACCGAACCCCTCCTTTATTCCCAAGAGCCTAAGGAGTGCGTTCAGGTCAAGAGCTATTCAGTTAGGTGGCTTTAATCTTCCACCCCATATTGGGGCCAGGGAGGCTAAATTGCACCTCCTCTGCCCGGTGCGTGTGCTAGCATGTTATGTGGAGCGCACAGCTGCCGTTAGGCGCACTGAACAGCTGTTTGTGTGCTTTGGGGGTGGTGTGGCCGATAAAGCTCTGCCCAAGAAACGCCTGGCAGGATGGCTCTGCGAGTGCATTTCACGTGCCTACGGACAGGCGGGGAGAGCCTTCCCCCCTGGGGTCCGTGCACACTCTACACGGGGTATGGCTGTGTCAACAGCCTTATTCAACGGCGTGAGTGTGGAGGACATACACGGCGGCGTCTTGGTCCACGCCAGGCCCCTTCATAAGGTTTTATCTCTTGGACATGTCTGACTCCTTCTCGTTGTCTGTGCTTGCTGGGGCAACACAGGACTGGTGAGGGGGGGAGGGGCTGTGGGTCAGTAGGTATCTGACCCCCCCCCCCACCCCTGGACATAATGCGCTTATGTTTTCCCATGATCCTTAGGGACCCGGGGAACATGGTGCGCAGTAAGCCCCAGGCGAGGCTGGAAGAGCCTTCCTCACAATTTGTTTCATGCACACTCTTCACGGGGTAAGCGTGTCTGAGTGTGCTCTACCAGCCAAATGAACTGCGGCCCGTCTTCTCCACGGTCACAACCGGAGGAGAAGGAGTGGCGGTGCAGTGGCTGTTAACCAAAAGCCAGTCATGGGCAGTGTGAGGGGCCGATGTTGTTGGACGACAGCGCGTTTATGCATCTGGGCTCCGCCCACTGTACCCATAGAGTCCAGTAGAGGGCGGAGCCTGTGAGAGATATAACGAGGGGTTACGTATTGTAACCCTTGTTATATAAGCACAGGCGGAGCCCTCTACTCGGGGCACTGTCTGTCCTATGCCGCTCGCTGAAGAGGGTGTAGGATGACGGTCAGGAGGCGAGGCCTCCTTTTATACGGGGTGCTTGCGCACGCATTCAGGTAGGCCCGCCCCGGGTGTAGTGAGGTGTGGGGGGGGGGGCAGGTTTTTGCCGCGCTGTAATGTTTACCTCTCATCCATTCTGTGGATTGATCTCAAGTTTTCAAAGTGTCCCCCCCCCCCCCACCCCCAGAGCCTGCAGTGGTAGAGCTCCTTCTGCAGGGAGAAATCAGAACACACTTCATTAGTCTTTTTGTCTACTTTTTTGTTGCTGTGTTTTTTCTTTAGATATGTATTTCTGATATTGAGTTTTAATGAACGATAACAGTTTTTTAGATGTGAGTTGATTGAAGTAGTTCCAGTAGACTCGCAGACATGACTACTGCATTGCTGGATAAAGAGGCCCCTTTATGCTGGTTGGAGTTTTCCCTTTCGTGTAGTGGGTTATATAGGTTTTTGTGCATGTCAATGGTCTGCAGAGGCTAAAATGTGCTAAAAAGTGTTATCTCTCCAGGGGGAGAGATACTCCCTCTGGAGAGATATTTCTTACTATGAACAAATCTATCAAAACCAACAATGTGTTGTCTATCAATACTTTCTGACATCCCTACCTCGTAAATCTGTATTTCCTGTCTTAATAAATCTGTATTTCCTGTCTCTGCAGATATGAGGGAGCCGGTGTTTGAGTTCATCCGCCCCTGGTGTACCACCCCCCCCGGCAGCCGCGGTTGCGGTCGAATAATCCAAAAATCAGCTCCTAAATTCTAACCCTATCGTCTATTCCTTGACCTCTGAGTGAAACGTCACGGGGTTAAGGGATAGTGGATAGGAGAATTCAAAAGGACTTAGGAGAAGAGACTGCGGTACTTTAGAGAATCCGACTGCACTTTCACTATCCGACGTGTTTATGATGCGCCAGCGGACGTCATAAATGTGCGTCTGCTGCTGTGGGAAAACTATGGAAACTACAGTTTTCTATACAGCGGACTACAACATGGATGTTTAATAAGAACGAGGGACTACTGTAAACTCATCTAGAGACTCTGCACCGTGAATCCGTGTATCTACCGTCTAATTGTTTTTCTTTATTAAACACCTAAACGGAAGAGCGTCAACGTTTTTGCTTTTTACTTTACTAAATGGTCTAATGGTCATTGGAGCGAGGGGCGGGGTGAAACTTACTTTTTGATTAATCCTCTGATAATATATCATAATAATTCAAGTAAGGTAAAAAGCAAAAAGCAAAAACGCCTCTCAGACGCTCTTCCGTTTACGTGTTTAATAAAGAAAAACAATTGGACGGTAGATAAACGGATTGTCACCCTCTCCCTCCGGTCCACATTAATACAAATGATCCCAATAAGTATTATTGTATGAAAAGATCTTAAAATAAATACAAATGTATTTATTATAAACGTTAGTCATTAAAGGTAGGGTATGTAATTTTGGAGAAACCAGCTCGAGATCGCTAAAATTTGAAAATACACAGCCGGAGAAAATCTGCCACTTCCTTACAGAGCCCCTCCTCCAACACACACGAACGCACACATGACCAATGAGGGCACGAGATAAGTTTGTGCACAGATGGAAGGCTGACAGGCAGGTAGGCCATCCAATCATTTTAGCCAGGCCGGCTAAAATGATTGGTCGTGCTTTTTACAGTACTACGGCTTCCACAGATGATATTTTTTTATGGATTTTTTGTCAAAGCACTTAAGATATTCATTGCTATCGGGATGTTAAGAGCATTCCATGGAATATAACAAAAAGTGTATCTCGAGCCGGTTTCTCAAACTTACCTACCCCACCTTTAACATCTATCACTGTGTATATCACCATTCAAACATCTTTTTAAAAGTTGAACAAACCCCACACAGCTCAGTAAAGACTGTGAAATGTTGACTTTATTTGATCATTTCAGTAAAAACTAACGTTCATATTTCTCTTTTTGATTATAATACTGATGAACGTTCAAAACAAAGCACTTTGGCAACTTACCACATACGTTTTAAAATGCTTCATAAGCACCGTAACTTTCATGATATCATTTCTCGTTCATAATCGGTTGTTTCCGTGAACGGCCGACTGTTGTGTGACGGCAAATGCTGCGGCTGCAAGGCATTGTGGGGCAGCATTTTCTCCTCTCCTTTCGTCAAGGGAGGTCCAGTGGTTCCTAAGCTAAAGGAGGTTATAAAGGAAGTTTGAAACCTCCTTTCCTTTCATCTAGAGAATTGGAACGACACTTATCATGGCTGCCACTGAGGGACTTCCGGGTCATTTCACTCCGTTAGGAAGGTTCCTAAGATAAATGGACTATTCGACTTCAGCCCTGGACAGGTACAGGAACGGGAAGGAACACACCTATGGGATTTACTAGTTATGAGACTCTAGAAAAACCCTCAAAATGTCCTCGCAAATATGTCGTCATGTTTGGCGAATTTACGTTATCAATAAAGCAATTTTCAGTCGTGCAGATTGAAGTTTTTTTGTCACAAGGTTATTTTTTCCACTTATTGGATCTGTTTCTTTCAAAATAATAAACTTTAAATGTATTAAACTTTAAATGTTTTTGATGCTACCTGAACAGGAACGGGAAGGAGCACACCTACGGGATTTACTAGTTATGAGACTCTAACCCTCAAAATGTCCTCGCAAATATGTCGTCATGTTTGGCAAATGTATGTTATAAATAAAGCATTTTTCAGTCGTGCAGATTTCATTTTGCGGAGGTTATTTTGACCACTTATTGGATCCGTTTCTTTGTAGGAAACAGGCAGGATATGGCCATTTAACATTTTTGAGATTCATCTCTGGAAAATGCAAACAAGAATATTTCTGACCTAAGAACTATTTAAAACATTTTTTAAATGCAAAACTTTCTCAAAAGAAACTTTAAAATAATTTTAATAAGAAATCTTTTTTTTTTTTTTTAAAGAAACTTGAAATAAGAATCTTAAACTCAAATAAAAAACTGTTTTTCAAATGCTACCTGGACTGTCCGGACAGTTACAGGAACGGGAAGAAGCACAGCTACGGGATTTTATGAGTCTTCAGAAAACATTCAAAATGTCCTAGCTAATGTCTCGTCATTTTGGCTAATTTAAAGCGTTTAACGGTGCTGATTTCAGTTGTCAGCAGGATATGGTTATTTTAGAAATGTGTGTTTCTATCTGGCAAATACAGATTGAAAATAAATGCAGAAAAGAAACTGAACATTTATATTTTGAGTGACAGGTTTAGAAGATTGTGAAACCCTGAATTGGGTATACGTATACCAAGTTTATATTCTTGACTTTTCTTATTAATCTCCATTTGTATTATAGACCACCTTTTTATAGTCCAGCACATGGAAGTGCATATGGACTTCAGACTAACCTGCAATAAAGGCTGCATTTGGAAGGATGGCAAGGTTTTCTAATGAACATTTCTCAATATTGCACGTTTAATCTTCTCCCTTTTACTGACATGACCAATGTATGCCAATCCTATGTAGTATGAGAGTTTTTGTAAAGACTTTTCTAGTCCAGATGAGCTTTTATTGGACTATTAAGGGAAGATGTATGCATGATAAGAGCCAAGCATTGCAATACAAACCATAGGCGGAGTTTGACATTTTCGCTTGGGGGGGAAAACCTTTTTTACTGACGTCAGTACACAGTCCCAACTACTGCGTGGGGTGCTACGGATACAGTAGCAATCAAGCTAGCGCTCACCGCACTGAGTATGACTTTTCCACATACGAACACAACTCGTCCCGTCATGCACGCCTTGTGCCCGCCGTACACTACATAACTGTAAAACTTATCATAACTGTGCACATCTAATACTTATTTGATAACTACTATATCCCTTGGTTACTTGAACACGCTACAATATTATTAACCAGTGTCCTACCTTATTAAAATATTGATATACGAAATATTTGTATTGGAACAGTTTGACGTAGTAATGCTGTAACATATTTCAGCCACTAGGTGGGGCAATGCCCCCCCTGCCCCCCTGCAAAATCTGCCTATGATACAAACATTGGATTGACACGCTGTTATTTAAGAAATGTATACAAGTTTTATTATATTGCTGCCAAGATAACATCTCAGATATCAAGGTCTCCAAGGCACTCAAAATAGACAAGATGAATCTATGCAGTATTTAATATCTCCTCGCTCATCATCCTGTTGAACCTTTCCTTTTCCTCGTCCCGTTCAACTTTTCCTCGTCGCTCATCGTTCCTTTCAACAACTGCTCATTGCTCATCGTCTCGTTGAACTTTTCCTCGTCGCTCATCGTCTCGTTGAACTTTTCCTCGTCGCTCATCGTCTCGTTCAACAACTGCTCGTCGCTCATCGTCTCGTTGAACTTTTCCTCGTCGCTCATCGTCTCGTTGAACTTTTCCTCGTCGCTCATCGTCTCGTTGAACTTTTCCTCGCCGCTCATCGTCCCGTTTAACTTTTCCTCGCCGCTCATCGTCCCGTTTAACTTTTCCTCGTCGCTCATCGTCTCGTTTAACTTTTCCTCGCCGCTCATCGTCCCGTTTAACTTTTCCTCGTCGCTCATCGTCTCGTTTAACTTTTCCTCGTCGCTCATCGTCCCGTTTAACTTTTCCTCGTCGCTCATCGTCTCGTTTAACTTTTCCTCGCCGCTCATCGTCCCGTTGAACTTTTCCTCGCCGCTCATCGTCCCGTTGAACTTTTCCTCGCCGCTCATCGTCCCGTTGAACTTTTCCTCGCCGCTCATCGTCCCGTTTAACTTTTCCTCGCCGCTCATCGTCTCGTTCAACAACTGCTCGTCTACTTCATGGGTATCCAGGAGTACTGAAAAAACATTTGAGACGTCAAGACAATAAATGATGTTCTCTAGACTGAAATCACAGCATGAATTCTGTAATAGTTCCTCAAGGGCTTGGTTACTTAATAAATCCTGTATTTTTAAAAAATGAGCGATGTTGGCAGTGAATTCAACAACCAAACATTGATGCATTCACTTATAAAAGACATGCAAGTGGTTTGTTTTAGCTCTGATACACACACGATTAGCTTGACATTGCTGTGTTTCAAATTAATCATACATTTCACAGATTTCAGATCTGTTACACCACTTTTATGCGACACATACCGTTGTCTTTTTGGCCTTTAGAGCTCACCTTTGTGCTCATGCTGGACACCCCCCGTCGTGCCGATGTTCTGCTGGACGCCCCCCGTCGTGCCGTTGTCCATGGGGACCAGGTTCTGCTGGACACCCCCAGTCGTTGCTTCGCCCCAAATGACAAACCGGTTCTGGACGTCCCCAGTCGTGGAGTCTACCCCAATGACGACCCATTTTTGGACGTCCCCCTCCTTGGCCACTCCCCTAATGACGACCCGGTTCTGGACAGCCTCTGCTGTGGCGGTTTCGCTAATGACGATCAGGTTCTGGACGCCCCCCGTCTTGGCTTTGTCCTTAATGATGACTAAGTTCTGGACGCCCCCCGCCGTGGCGTTTCCCCTAATGACGACCCGGTTCTGGACGTCCTCAGTTGTGGAGTCGCCTCCTATGATGACCCATTTTAGGTCACGCCCCGCAGTGGAATTTCCCCTAATGACGACCCGGTTCTGGACGCCCCCCGCCGTGCCGTTGTCCCTCGTTACAACCTGGTTCTGGACATTTGTTGTCTCGTTGACGCTTTGGGGCTTTTGTTCAGAATTCTGGTGACCAGACGCCTCAGCTTCCACGTCATTGGTTTCCAGTTGTACTGAAAGAAAGAAGGATTGATTAACGAATTAAGAACCAAAATAAATCACGTGATGTTATACGTCGACTGAAATCACAGCATGAATTGTTCTGTAGTTTTCTTTTAATTCTTGCTTTTTTAATGTGGCATTTGTTGGATTGAGGACCGTTTTTAAGATCAATTCTCAAAGTTCTTCAATTTGGCACGACATTTCTCAAACGCATGGCATCAACATGCACAATATATCATGGGATGGCCATCAAATACACACATCTGCCCAATTTCAAGTTTTTAAAACCAGTAGTATCACCCCATAGTGTTCCTCAAGGGCTGAGTTGGTATAAAATATACAGATATCATAATGCATTAAACCCTTTTATACACGGTTTAAATATCTTGAGTTCATCTTATATTTCCCAGCTTTCAGATCCACCACTTTAATGCGGCACATACTGTTGACCTTTTAGCCTTTAGGGCTCACCTTCTCTAGCATCTTGGTCTAACATGGACTCCATGGACTGGAAAAGTGCAAAGGCTTTCTTTAAGGAGATCTCATTGGGAGACAGATCTGTAGGACACATTATAATGAAAGGTTTAGTGTCAGACAGAGAGAAGAAACACTTCATACAATCAAATGTTTTCAACTCTCAGTCTCCTCTGCAGCTTCTATTCACCAGCTGGAAAACCAGAGACTGTGGACAGGAAACATTCTGTTCAATCAAACATTATTCCTTCATCTTCAATACAATTATCAAACAGGTAAATACCTCTGGCCAGACAAACAGTCAGCACACAGAGGAGCATCCAAACAGCTGCCATCTCTGCAGTTTTCCAAGAGAGTGTTGCCTGAGCAGCAGCCAGCTTTAATTAAAGGAGGGAAACCTCCAGCAGCTGCTGCTGATCAGCACTGATTGTCTCTCTGCACAGAGGAACACACCATTTATCTGAGTCAACTCTGAGAATGAGGAGTTTTTCATGGAGCTTGTTGTGCATTTATGATTAGTAGAGACCATCATTTTAAATTCACATTATGTTCAAATCAGTAAAAGAATATTGCATTTGAGAGGGTATAGCAACTACAACAAATAACAAGCCCAGAATAAATCTGTATTTCCCGTCTTAATAAATCTGCATTTCCTGTCTTAATAAATCTACATTTTTCGTCTTAATAAATCTGTATTTCCTGTCTTAATAAATCTGTACTTTTCGTCTTAATAAATCTGTATTTCCTGTCTTAATAAATCTGTATTTCCTGTCTTAATAAATCTGCATTTCCTGTCTTAATACATCTGTATTTCCTGTCTTAATAAATCTGCATTTCCTGTCTTAATAAATCTGCATTTCCTGTCTTAATAAATCTGCATTTCCCGTCTTAATAAATCTGCATTTCCCGTCTTAATAAATCTGCATTTCCTGTCTTAATAAATCTGCATTTCCCGTCTTAATAAATCTGCATTTCCCGTCTTAATAAATCTGCATTTCCCGTCTTAATAAATCTGCATTTCCCGTCTTAATAAATCTGCATTTCCCGTCTTAATAAATCTGCATTTCCCTTCCTTTCTGTGGCTCTTTTCACAAATCCCATTGGTTTCTATTGAAGATTTAAATCTTAAAAAACATCTCAAAAGTATTGTTGAAGGCGTTCAAAGGGCTTTCCTTATGGACAAGGTTGGTCCAGTGAGTGCTGTTAAGACTGTAACATCATACATATTAGTCTGGACAGTATGGCTTAGAAGTGGAGGCTTTCCCACCATTTATAGGGCAAATGTGAAACAGGAAGTAGAGCAGGGATCAACAGGATGTGGAGAGGAAGCAGATATCTGCTGACACATCACATGTCTCCTTGGCTGACGCCCCACTGTCAGCCTCCTGCAGTCACTTCATGCTGTAGCTTCTCCACCGCCAGCCCTGCATACAGGACTGCCTCCTCCTGCTTCCATTTGATTCATGCGGTAAAATATAAAAACAAATATCTGTAATGATCACATTTCAAATGAATGGTATGAGTGCAACAGGTGGTGTGTTGTCTTTGTAAGTGTCAGCTCAGAACTCATGGATGTAAAGATGGCTGCTAAAGAGAAGGATGTTTGCTGATTTGACAGCAGGCTGACAGTGGTCCAGCCCTAACCCAAGCCAGCGTCACTTATGGATGTGTTCAGTACATGCTCTGTTGCACCTGTCACAGCAATGTCACAGTGTCTTGTGTACGGCTGTGCGTCAGTCCAGCAAGGTGACAAGTTAAACCTAACAATAAACTGGAGTGAAACACTGATGCAGTAGCAGCCAGTGTGCTCTGCTTTGTACTGGGGGGAGACATCAGAAAAAGGGATGCCGACAGGCTGAACAAGCTTGTGAAGAAGGCTAGCTCCAGAGGTGGTAGAACCGTAGAAGTACTCAGATCTAGAACTTGAGTAAAAGTAGAAGTACCAGAGTGTAGGAATAAAAAAAAAAAGTCCTGCATTCAAAATGTTACTCTAGTAAAAGTATAAAAGTATTAGCATCAAAATATAGTTAAAGTAGCGACAGTAAAAGTAGTGATTGTGCAGATTGGTCCATTTCAGAATAATATATATGATATGTTTTATAATAATAATAATAATAATAATAATAAATTCTATTTATATAGCGCTTTTCTAAACCCAAAGACGCTTTACATTTGGGAAAGGGTAGACAGACAAGGACAGGCAACAAAACAACAACAAAACAAAAACAAAACAGAGAAAACAAAAAAACAAAAAAACAAACAGAAAGCAGTCAGGAGGAAGTGGGGGGTGGGGGTGGGCTTATGGGTATACAGATTTGAAGAGATGGGTTTTGAGGCGAGACTGGAACAGGGTGAGGGACTCGGACTCACGGAGGTCTTGGGGGAGGGAGTTCCAGAGCTTCGGGGCTGCCACAGAGAATGCTCTGTCCCCAAAGCTCCGGAGTTTGGCCTTGGGGATGGAAAGCAAACCGGCTGAGGTGGATCTGAGGGACCGGGGTGGTTGGTAGAGGATGAGGAGGTCAGTGAGGTAGGGGGGGGCCAGGTGGTGGAGGGCTTTGTAGGTGAGTACCAGGAGTTTGTATTGGATGCGGTGTGAAACGGGGAGCCAGTGAAGTTCTTTGAGGACCGGGGTGATATGATGCCATGATTTGGTGTGGGTGAGGAGTCTGGCGGCTGCGTTCTGGACACGCTGAAGTCTATTGAGGGATGTAGTGCTGATGCCGTAGAGGAGTGCGTTGCAATAGTCCAGGCGGGAGGAGATGAAGGCGTGAATGAGTCGCTCAGCTGCAGGGCGGGTGAGAGAGGGACGGAGTTTGGCGATATTGCGGAGGTGGAAAAATGAGGTTTTAACAACTTGGCGGATGTGGGGCTCGAGGGAGAGGGTGGGGTCAAATATCACGCCAAGGTTGCGTGCCTGGGTGGAGGGGGAAACAGGGGTGCCATCGATGGTGAGTGTCAGGTTGGGGGTTTTGCTGAGGGTGGATTTGGAGCCGATGAGGAGGAGTTCAGTTTTATTGCTGTTGAGTTTGAGGAAGTTGTGTGCCATCCAGGATTTTATAGCAGTCAGACAGGATTCGATGTGGGTGAGGGGGGGGTTGTGGGGGGATTTGGTGCTGAGGTAAATCTGTGTGTCATCAGCGTAGCAGTGAAAGTCCAGGTTGTAGTGGTGTAGAATCTGACCAAGGGGGAGGATGTAGATGATGAAGAGGAGGGGGCAGAGTACTGAACCTTGGGGAACACCTTGGGTGACTGAAGCTGTGGCAGAGGAGTGGTTGTTGAGGGAGATGAAGTGGGATCTGTCGGAGAGGTAGGACTGGAGCCACCTGAGTGCAGTACCTTCGATACCGATGTCCTGGAGTCGGGTGAGCAGGATGTTGTGGCTCACGGTGTCGAAGGCTGCACTCAGGTCGAGGAGGATGAGGATGTTGAGTGAACCGGTGTCAGCAGAGGTGAGGAGGTCGTTGAGGACTTTGGTGAGTGCCGTTTCTGTGCTGTGATGGGGACGAAAACCAGACTGAAGGGGTTCAAAAAGGTGATTTGTTTGGAGATGGCGGTGGAGTTGTTTGGAGATGATACGTTCTATTGTTTTTGAGAGAAAGGGGAGGTTGGAGATGGGGCGGTAATTACTGAGGGAGGAGGGATCCAGACCGGGTTTCTTGAGGATGGGAGTGACAGCAGCAGTTTTGAAGGCAGAGGGAACGGTTCCTTGGGACAGGGAGGAGTTGAAAAGGTTGACAAGGTAAGGGCAGAGGACGGAATCAATAATGATTGATCATGAAAGTGTTCTCAAAGCTGGTAAAGGTGCAGCTAGTTTGAATGACTTTGTATACTGCAGGGTAGCTTGTGAATTTACTCCAGGTGGAACTAAAGTCTGATTTAACACTTGATTATATTTCACATCATTCATCCACATCTGTAAAGTAACCAAAGGTATTACATACATGTAGTGGAGTCAAAGTACACCATTTACCTCTGAACTGTAGTGGAGTAGAAGTACAAAGTAGTATAAAATGGAAATACTCAAGTAAAGTAAAATGATCCAAAATGGTACTTATGAGTACATGTACTTAGTTACTTCCCACCTCTGGCTAGCTCTGTTGTTGGAGTAAAACTGGACAATCTGGAGGAGGTGGCTGAGGGGAGGACGAGGAGGAGGCTGGACTGTCTCCCTTAACAACCTGTAATGTATGTACATATGGGATGCACACTTAGATGTATTTAACATATTCATAATTATTCATATTTGTATATAAACACTTTTTGTTTTATTCTATACTGTTATTTGGTTTTAAATCTGCTTTCCTAATGATGCTTCTTTGAACTCTTACCTGTCCTCTCCTGTATTCCCATCCTGTTAGGGTTAGGGGTTTGCATGCGTTTTGGCCACATTTGTGTTTATATATTTACATCATTTTAAAGTGTGTTTCTCCTAATGTTGGTGTTTTGGACAGTTGTAGAATGTTTGCACCTGTCGGACACCGTACTACAGGTTTTGTTGGTGCATGTGTATATTTTGGGCCTATGGGTGTCATTCTAAATGAATCCAGAATGAAGAACTGAATGTTAATCCTATAGCAGGAGAGGCTTTTGTGTCTCCTCTAAACCCAACATTTCAAAGCAAGACACCATGATGATGCAAACCATCATGAGTCCCTTCAAATAAAAAAGGCAAGCTGCTATTATTAAAACTACTGTTCAAAATGGACACACAAAGATGAATGAATAACTCCTTCAGCGTATGGGCAGATATCAAAATAGTTGATTTTATTTGTACTGTATTAAAGTTATAAACACAGGCAGTGGTTTTACACATCACCATTCAGACATGGGGTCCATCATGAATGTCCCAAAGCGTTACAGTACAGTGATACTCCTCTCTCCACAGCCTTCATGTAGCACAAATCAAACCTGTCAACAATCAGTGGTTCTGTAACAAACCTAAGCTGCCCAAACCTTTGTTTGGATGTCATGTGATGTGATTACAGCTGACCCTGGGTCAGGGCTGCAGGGGGGTCATCAGGAAATCAGTGACATGTACATATCATTTGCGCTTTTGCAAACTTGTTAAAAATTCAAGAACGTTAAATATCTTGAAAAATATCCTTACTATTACAATTTCTTCCTTCATATTTACTTCAACACATTTAGACACTCCCTTGGAGAAAGTGAAATGCAGATTCTCTTTAGAAGTGAATTCTCTCCAGCCAGCACATGGATGGGCGTTTAAACTGGGCTATTCAGAACATGAAATACATCATACATTAAGACTTGACAGAGCAGCAGTCTGACAGCTCTGTGGTCCCGCCTACTTCATATAAACTCAGCCAATGAGCTTCCACCTACCTGTTTACCCAGAA